ATAGGTTCACAGGGAGTGGCACAGTTAAGAGGTATGGCCTTGTTGGAGTAAGTGTGTCTCTAGAGGTGAACTTTGGGGTTTCAGAAGCTCAAGCCAGGCCCAGTGTCACTTTCTCTTCCTACTGCCTGCCAATCTAGATGTAGAACTCTTAGCTACCTCTCCAGTCCTGTGTCTGCCTGTGTGCTGTCATGCTTTCCACCATGATGATAATGGATGAAACCTCTGAACTGTAAGCAAGGCCCAATTGAATGGTTTTCTTTATAAGAGTTACTGTGGTCATGGTGTCTCTTCACAGCAATAAAACCCTAAATAAGACAATACAGGTCTTGGTCCATGGAGCATGCTTATAAAGTATGGTTTAATCAATAAATGAATGTCTCCAATTGTGTAAAGTATTTGTTATATTTTTTTTTTGGTTGGTGGGCAAGGTGGTGGTCTGAAACATTTTGGAAAGTTCCCTTCCATCTACAAACAAACAGATATCACGGATAAAACTTAACATGAAAAAGAACAAAGGAGAGTCAGAAGTAAGAAGAGGCCTCTAGTTCAACTGAGGGGCAGGCAGTGGTGCTAATAAAATGCCCTCAAGGGGGTGGGGATACAAAAGAGAGCTCGCTGAGTCAACAAGAGGCTCCTGCAGAAGTCAGAGTTCAAATGACATGAGATGATAACATTTCCACTCCCAGGCCTAGGAGTTTTATCCAGAGGTAAGAGACTTAATCTCCCCCAAGAATAAAATGGGAAACTCAATTCTAAGAAACTAATTTAAAGTGATTAGGATTCCATCTTGGTTCTTCAGGCTGTGGTGAAGACAGGGGCGAGAACTCCAAAACTCTGCTTCTCTCTGGGACTCTCAAGGGCTGCACCTTTGCCATAAACTTATAGGAAAAAAATCACACAGCATGCCAGGAATGCATCATCACAACAGAGACCGTAGATGTAAAACACCTGTGGAAACTCGGACACTCCAGCAATCCAAAGACTTAGTGTGGTCATCTCAGAGTCTGCAGAAGTATGACTCCTGGACCTCCATGGACACCAAAACCCATGGCTGCTCAACCTTTGGCACTGTATTTTCACAGAACCTTCACACATCACGTCCTTTAAGTCATCTCTCCAGAGCGTTTGACCCTTAGCATGATGTTAATGCTGCGTGCACGGCTCTAACACTATGATGTACAGAAACAGTGACTCTACAGAACTATGTTCGGCAGAGACATGGCCTTTTCTGGCTGTTATTGAGCCTCCACTGATTGAATATGGCATATAGAAGCCTTGTTTAACAGAAGACCTACTATGTCTAAAAATTAGAGAGGACTGCATGGAACCTATAACACAGGGCAGAGCAGGATGGAAAAAGGAAGCTTGGTTTGAAAACGTTCACTAAACGGAAGTAGTGGAGATAGGAAATTGGGCTGTCACTGGAGAGAAGTGGCAGAGTTTCAATTACAGCTGGGAACGATCTGGGCTCTGCTTCAACTGGGTTCTTGATCTGTGATTTCAATAAAGCCACCAGACCCTGAGTCGACAAGGTTCCAACTCTAGGACATCCTTAATTAGCATCAGAGTGGAAGGTTCTTTGAAGACTAGAACCGGAAGTCAGGTCATTCCAAATGGCTTCATGCTGTCCCCAAGACATATCTTCAGATCATTTGGAACACGTTAGTACGGTGTCCCCTGGGGGGGCAGGGGTGGCTTCTGCTTGGAGTGTGGTCCCTTCCTCCCATTGTCTTTCCTGGCTGCAGTTTAACCCCCAAGGACATCTGAACGCCTGGCAATGCAGAAACAGAAGGGGGGGATTGCTCACAGTATTCCCATTGGGGTTTGGATAAGACGTGTTTCCCAGGCTCACATGTTGGGGTCTCAGTTGCTAGATGATGGGCCTTGGGGAGAGGATGGGATCTTGAGAGCTCTGACATCATCACTACGCTCAACCTCTTGATGGATTCATAATAAGGTGGCGTTATTGAGAGGTGGTGAAAGGAAGGGATGTGATGGGGTCTGACTCGAGGAAATAGGGCACTGGAGCACGTCCCTGTGAGCTGGAGCTGACCCTGGTTCTTTTAAACTCCTTTCTTTCTGCTTCTTGGAGATCATGAGGTGAGAGGCTTTGGCTATGTTTTGTTGTCACCCAGAATCGGTGGACCCAAGGACTATGACAGAAATATCTGAAACCCTGATCCTAGATAAACCTTTCCACACAGAGCCTGACTACCACACCCTCCTAGCTTGTAAAACATCCTGGGGATGTTTGGTGGAGGATGAGAGCGTGGAGAAACCCAAGAGGACTGTGCATCTTACCAGAGCCAACCAAGTTGAGTAGCACTGGGCTGTGAAGGTGGGATTTCAATCCTGCCTGTTACTTACTGGGTCTGGCTAGCACATATTTCTCTGACCTAGCTTCCTCATCTGTGATACAGTAAGAATGATCTTCAGGTTGGATTTGAGCACCCATGCACTGATGTGGGAAAGGTGCCTGGTGATGCTTAGTGTCTGTGGCTATTCTGCCTCTTTTTTTTTTTTTTTTTTTTTTTTTTTTTTTTTTTTTTTTTTTTTTTGGTTTTTCGAGACAGGCTTTCTCTGAGTAGCTTTGCGCCTTTCCTGGAACTCACTTGGTAGCCTAGGCTGGCCTCGAACTCACAGAGATCCGCCTGGCTCTGCCTCCCGAGTGCTGGGATTAAAGGCGTGCGCCACCACCGCCCGGCTATTCTGCCTCTTTCTCTTCCCTTTCTTCAGAGACTGAAAACCTTCGCATAGGCCAGTCCACAGCCTGCTAGCTCTGGCTACAAGATGAGCAGAGGTCTGCCTCCTTAGCCGCTCATTCACCTAGTCATCGCGTGACCTTCACCCTCTGGTTCCTGTTTTTTCCTTCCAGGCTCTAGGTTGTCTGGCCTTTCCTGTTCTCTCCAGCTTTATTCCTCTAGACACTAGGTGACTATTTCCTCTTCCTTAAGAAGGAACTCTGATGGGATTTGGGGGCACACCAGTACCGTCAGACACCACTGACACAGCCTGTGAGATCCAGGTTCACATTCCAAAGGAGAACACAAAGGCACAGGCTCCCTGGGAGAGCATCTTCTTCCTCAGTGTTGCCTGCTCTTGTGCCTAAACGGTAAATACAGGACCTGTAGGCATGGTAGCCATCTTGTGATCCATGAAACAGCAGCAACGGCGAACATGTGGAGTAGAAAGGAGAGCACTGGCTGTGGGGCAGGCGGCCCTTCCTTTCTTTCTGGCTGCATAACCTCATGTTTAACCTCTTTTTTTTCCAGAGCTGAGGACTGAACCCAGGGCCTTGCGCTTGCTAGGCAAGAGCTCTACCACTGAGCTAAATCCCCAACCCCATATGTTTAACTTCGTACAGCCTCCCTTTCCTTCCCACAGTCTGTGAAATGAGGATTGAGATGGCCAGGCCACCTTGTACAGTAGTTCCGAGGATCGAGCACTGTGATGGGTAGGAATCTCCCTTCTCTACTGTAAAGCTCCCTCCAATGTTGTAGCTGTCTGAACGTGTACATGAGCAACTGTGACTTTAAGGCAGAATGAAGGAGACCATTTGTTTCTCCTCATAAACATGGACCGTATGTCAACCAGCTCTGATCTGTAGCCCATCAGCTATGTAAACAGGAAGCAACTATCCAAACATTTGGAGCTGCAAGGGGCTGGTCAGGGTCAGCCTCTCCCAGCTGTGAGAGCCTTAGAAGTCAAGGATGAGGTCTCTCCTCTGAGGGCATAAGTTCAAAGCCACCCCTGGGGCTGTCCTCCCCTGACCTGGCTCAGATCACCCTCTCTTGAGGGGAGAACTGTCCTCACTGGCTCTTCTGGGCTGTCTCCTGTTCCTTGTCCTTCCTCTCTGCCCTGTCACAGCTGAAACGGGGTAGCTTTTATTTTATTTTGGTTTGTTTTTGTTTGTTGTTTTCTTTCTGAAATGCAATCTGCTTGGGCCATCCTGGCTTGAAACGTTTCCATGGTTTCATGTTCTCTAAGGAGAAGATAAAGGTTATGCTGCCTTCCAGGCTCCAGATGCCTGGCTTTTCCTGGCTTCTCCAGCTGGATTTCTCCAGTTATGCTGACTTATGTTTCTGGAATATGCTATGGTGGCCTGAGGGCTTTGCCCATATTGTTCCCATTTTCTCAGCTTTTAGCTCCCACTTCTAGGGCAGAGGACAGGCTAAGCCTGCAGCAGGAACCCACCTGCCCCCAGCTCTAGCATCTGTCCCACCTGCTGCCTCACATCTGTTCCTGTGGAGGTCTCATGCCCCCTGACCGCCGCTCAGGACAGGGATTTCCATCTGTCCTGCTCACAGTCACATCCATCACCAGGTAAACAATGGCCCCAGAAAAGTTCTCAGCAGCTGTGCAGGTCAGGGAGGCAGACCTGCTTTGCCATGTGAGAAAAACAAGCACCCAGCACAGCCAGGCAGAGTCTCACAGCTGTTCTACTCTGCAAAGACTCCAGTCTGCTCCACCCGAGAGCAACAGACTGTAGGAAAGCTGGTAACTTGCCCAAGTTACACATCTGTCAGCAGCCTTGCTAGAATCAGTGCCTCGGTCCAGAGTCTAGCTTCCTGCCCTGGTCCAGCTAGCACAAAAGGTCACTCTAAACCTGTTTCCTCATCTGAAGAACTGGGTCATAACTGGGCTGTCCGAAGGATTAACTGAAGAAAGCCCATGAAATGCTTTGCTCAGGGCCCATACACAGTGTGCAGTCAATAACAATCAGGATCAAATTGAAGAGCTAAGAATCAGTATCACTGATTGCAATCCATGAGTAACTGAGTAAAAGGATTTCATGGGTGAACAGGAGGGTGAACGGATGGAGGGACAGAGGAATGGATCAATGGGTGGTAATGGAGTCCACAATGACTTAAGGAATGGAAGAACCTACCATGAAAGCCTGAAGACAGAGATGAACACTAGAGTGCACAGCGGGGTGGCACATCTAGGTTTAGAGAACAGGACCCTCCCATCTGTTCCGCGCCAGTTGCTGCTCCGCTCACCTGTAACGTCTAAGCTCCGCCTCCAGTCGCTGCACCTGGCGCTGCAAGCGGGGAACGCGCCCCGCCAGCGCCTCCAACTCCCGCACTCGGTGCAGGCTGCTCCGCACCGCCTGCCGGGCCTCCTCCGTGCGCAGCCGCACCTCCACCTGTCCGCGCTGCAGCCGCCGGGCACGAGCCTCTGCCTCCGCCAGCGCTCCCTGTGCTTGCTGCAGCTTGTGCGCTGCCGCTTCCGGGATGTCCGATTGGCTCTTCCAGAGGCCTACCTGCCCGCGGGAAGCAAGAGTGAGTGACCAATGGAGGAGCCTACCGGGACCTCCCCTTACACCACAAAGCTCGATCACTGAGCAGGGGGCACAAGCAAGTAATGCACATGTGTGCAATACTTACCCTTCCCCACCCCCCCACCCCCCAAAAAAAGGCTGAGACTGGAAATCCACAGTCTGTTTTTTTGTATGGTGACAGTAATTCTCCAAAGTCGTGACTTCTTGGCCTAACTCCTTCATCCAATGTACACAGCTCCTAATTTTCTGGACTCATGGCATAGCTTAAACACCAGACTGGTGTTTCCGCTCTTCCTGAGATCTGTGCACTAGGCGCGTCCTTGGAAATGGGGGTGGTCTATCTTGTTTACTGCAGTGTTCCATAGAGGAAGCTGGCGCAGTGTGCTCAGATGACACTTGAGCGTGAAAGATGGACAGACCCTTTTAGCCAGTCTCAGGCACTCCACATGACTCTGCACACTTCGAGAGTCTAACGCTTCCATGCCACACATACGAACCATGGAGGCCACCCTGCCAGGGGGCAGGAGGCACCAATGTAACGACAGTTATTTTTAGGTTCTCTTCCCATAAGGTCTTTTTCTCCCTTGGCCGGCCACCTGCCTCAAGGTTGGTTGACCCCAAGGCCAGGCTAAGCCTGTAGTTCGCTCAATGGCTCCATCTCAGTAACTCAGAGTGGGCCTGGCCCTCAATCTTTCTCACTTATGCTCGAGGCCTGGCGCTAAGGGATTCCACAGGTTTCGCTGACTTGGGGAAGGGAGGTCCTCTTCTCTGTTTTCCCTAAACCTCCCAGAAGAAGAATGCTTGCTGACCCGTGACGGCCTAGACAGGCTCCTTCTTGGGTTAGAAGGGACAGGAGTGTGAAGCTGGAGTTTTAAGGAATGATAAATTTGGGTGGAAGTTGAAATGAAGCGGATAGAGTGGGGAACGGAGAGGGCCAGCTGAGGAGGGGGGTGGGTCAAGGTGGGGTGCCCCTGTCTCCACCCGCGGCGTCCCGCGCACCTGCAGGGCCAGGCAACGCGCGTCACTGCTCTGCAGCGCCGCACGGAGGTCCTCCACCAGCTCGCGTAGGCTGCTGTTTTCCTCCTCTAGATGTGTCACACGCTCTCCATCGGTGCCGCCCTGCAGGCTCGGTGAGCCAGGCCGCCGGCGGCGGCGACGCGGACGGCGGAGGCGGATCTGCGTCTCGATATGCTCGCTGAGAGCTCCTCGGGGCAGCCGGGGCCCCGCTCGGGTACTGAAGTAGCCGCAGAGGCGTGCGTGGAACTGGCGGAAAGTGAGTTCAGGAGGCTCGGCGCGCAGAGCCAGGGCGCGCCTCTTCTCTGACGTCCGCGTCCCTGCCAGCTACTGTTCCAGCAGCGGGGTTCTTAGCGGCCACCTCCGAGGGGTTTGCGTCCTCGGTGGTCGCCTCCCCGTCGGCGTTCAGACCCAGTACGGCGCAGAGCGCGCGGAAGTCGGCGCGCGGCAGGCGACCCGCACCCCGGCAGTCCAGATGATGGAAGACTTCCTGCAGATACTGGTCCAGACCGGTAGCCAGCACCACGATCTCGTTCTCCACGCCGCGGTCTAGCCCGTAATGGTGAGCCAAGGCGCTTAGCAGCCACTGCGTGCGCCGCGCGGGTCGCCGGTACGGGTCGCCCGCCGCGCCCTCCATGCCCAGACCCAGGCGACTCCTCTCGGCCCAGCGGCGCCTTCAGACAGCCGCCCGAGACCGCGGAGGGAGGGGCTGGGCGGCCACCGCCAAGCAGGAGAGACGCGGGACCCTGTCCAGGCAGCTGCGTGGGCTGTGCAGGGCATCTGCGTGTGTCCCGATGGGGGGCGCTGGAGCAGCGTGCTCTCCCTCTGGGGCTGTAATGGCCTTGACCAGCGCTCCCCATTCACATCCCCATCACCCTAAGCAGTCTCTGGGTCAGTTCTTTTGCTTTCCCCAGACCTTTTGGCTCTTGCAGCCAGAGGCAGGAGCGCTTGTTAGCCATTGTGCTCTCCCGCACTTCCCAGTCCTTGCCCATCAACCTTCCTGGCGTCCTCTGCCCCCTGGGAGGGCTCCAGACTGCTTCCTAAACTCCCCCTCCCCCTATCTAACTAGGACAGAGGAGGAAACAGACTTGGAAGTAGTTAGGGTTTTGATGGGAGGAAAGTTGTCTACTGCCGCCACCTTCGGGCTCCAGGAGGTGACTTGGCGCTAGACCTGAGTTCCTTCTTGCGGGCTGGGATAAGGCAAACAGGGTTGTTTGGCCACTGTTTTCTCCGGTACCCTAGAACTTGATTCTGGGAGATGGAGGACAGACCCGCTTCCTCTGGAGTTCTAACAGGCTTTCCCTTTCTCTTTCACAGAGAGCTGTGCTGTTGGCTCCACTTGTTGCCTGAACCGTTATCCAGCCATACTGGAGCAAAAGTCAAACTCAGCAGCCCTTGGCTATTAGATAGGCAGATCTTGTCTCATGTACATCTCTGATTTTAAATGTTAAATTCCAGTTGAGGAGCATTACCATTTTGTTTCCTTCACTATAGCACCCCAGACTAGTACTTTGTCCTTTGTCCTACTCATTCTTAAACACTGTCCAACCACCTCAGACTGGAAAGGAATCAGACATCCCAAGCATTCTGGAGAATATATATATATATGCAATTTAGCAGAATAATTGACATCAGCTCCACTTCTTGGCTCCTACCTTAGAGAACCACGTGTACAGCATGTTCATTCACCACATTACTGCGTATAATGGTCAGACGCTGATATGGTTAGCAGGAGCCCAGCCAGGACAGATCACCAAACAAGGATGGATGAGAAAATACGCTACAGCAGTTTTTCGAATGTTAGTACATATGTGACAATAACAACACTGCACACAGTATTACTAGATGTTTTCCACGAAGATGCACGTAAGGAGTTGCATAGGAGATTAATGAAGCTACAGCCAGATCTAGTTGCTATTTCCAGTGATGGCGAACCTTTTGCTTTCAGCACACTGGCTCTTTTGCTTAAACGGGAGATTGCATTTTAAGATACACACATCAACAGTTTTCAGTGTGTTACAATTGTCTAACCACAACTGCAACTAATACCTCAACATTTCCACACCCCTCGCCTCCCCACCCCTGGGTTCAATTCTCAGCACCCACAAGGTGGCTCACAACCAGTGCCCTCTTCTGGCCACCATGAGGACCACATGCATATGGCACACAGATGCATACAAGTAAAAAGCCCATACACATAAGATTAAAAAGGGGGGAAAATTAAAGGTGGTCTTCTGTGGACTGGGTTTTTTTATGAGACATATTAACATGTTTATTTGTGTTGTAATATGTACTAACACTCTAATTCTCTTTTAGTTCTTAGTGATACTCTATTGCATGGATAGACCACATGTTACATGTGTTTTTCATTCATCAACTAATAGGTGTTGGGGTTTGACTGTCGTGAGTGATCCTGCTATGGATTTTTTTTTTTGGTATGAGTTCATGTAATTTACTCTCCTTTGGGTACATACTGAAGGGTGGGTTGGTTGCTGTGCTGGTTTCTTTTTTGTTGACTTGTCAAAGCTGGGATCATCCAGGAAGAGGAAATGTCGACTGAGGAATTGTCTCCATCAGATTGGACTGTGGACAAGTCTGTGGGGGCATTCCTCTTGATTAATGATTGATATGGAAAGGACCATCTCACTGTTTGTGGTACCACTCCTGGGCAGGTGGTCCTGTGTTGTATAAGAAAGTGGAATGAGCAAGCCATGTAGAACAAGCCAGTGAGCACCATTTCTCCATGGCCTCTGCTTCTGCTCCTGCCTTGGCCTCCCTCTGTACTACAGTGTTATCTGTAAGGCAAAGAAACCCTTTCTTCCCCAAGTTGCATTTGGTCTTATTTATCACAGCATTAGACAGCAAACTAGGATAGTAGGGTCCTGTGGCAGTTTGAGATCTTCTTGAGGAATGGCCCATCTCTTTTCCAAAGAGACCTCCCCATTTTCACCGACACTGACAGTGAACACCATGTGATTTCCAGTGTGTTTAGTGATACAGAGATTGTCAGCCTGGACCTTCTTCATCACGGTTCCTAGTGCCAACCTCTTTCTTCAGGCCTGTGCCAGTCAGCTCCCCATCACTGTAACAGGTACCCCAGGCGATTAGAGAGGTACCTCTCTTGTATGGGGAGAGGTCCACTTTGGCTCACAGCTTGCTTTTGGGGCTTCTGGTAGTATAGATGCATGCATGCATGGTGGAGTCAAAATGTCATATACTTCACGGGTGGGAAGAAAAAGAGGGAAAGGATGGGACTGGGGTTCCACTGTCCTCCTCAAGGACGTAACCCAAGTGTCATGCTGCTGGGTCTCATCTCTTGAACGTTTTACCCCCTCCAAATAGCAGTGCCCCAGAGGTTTTCACACAGAGACCTTTGGAAGACACTGCAGATCTGAACCATGACAAGACTTCCCTTACACATGCCCTAGATCCAACTGTAAGGCTGTCCGGTGGCTCCACCTTTGAAACATGTCCTGAACCTGCCTTGTTCCTAGTGCCCTGGGATCACTCTAGGCCAAGCTCCTAACATCTTTCCCCTGTGTGATTGCTTCACTCACTCCAAAGATTTTAACTTTATATGTATACACAAGCCCTTGAGTGCCTTGAGGGATGCTATTAATCTTAAGTCATACCATGACCCTCCTCTGCTCAAAACTCACTAGTTCCTTCTCAGAGGGATGAAAGGCAACATCATCATCTTGACCCCAAGGATGGCACATTAGAACCTATTGTCCCCTTTAAACACTGCCATTAGTGCTTCTCTTATAACCTTTCTGCTCTATAAGCAGCTCCTGCCTCAGGCCTTGGCATATGTTTACCCTTGCATAGCTCCCACCCCCTTACCTACTTGGAATCCTATCAGCCCCAGCAGAGTACATCTTCCCCAATGGATCAGTTGCCTCTTGCATGAAACCTCAGACTATGTGGGAGGAGTGCTGCCTGCTCTGCTGATCTAGAATGGTGCTAACACACCAGAAGTCGCAAACTTATGACTCCTGTTTCAGTGGCTTCCCCATGGTTGCCACAGCAAATGGAACTGTGGCATGTTGCTTTTCATCTGCCTTTTTGTTGTTGTTGTTGTTCACAATGATTTATGTCTTTTATTGGCATATGAGTTTTAAAGCAACCCTTATACCACATCAGCTGTGAACCTCATACATGACCCGAGCCACTCAGGGCTGGAGACCTGGTTTTCCAATGCTCATCACAAAGTAGTACTTGATTGTTTTGCTTTGCACGAGCATACTGTTGTAAATATGAACTCACAGCTTCAAAAGGGAAAACTACCTCTAGCAGGCATCAGTGGGATTTGAATATTTTCAAGCCCAGTGATGTTGGAGCCCCTACGGCTCCAGATATGGTAATAGAAGTCCAATAGAAGAATACCAAGAAGTCCTGGCCCTGGAGCTTAATGTGGGTATGTATAGCAAGTGTCTAGGCTGTGATGGAGTCTATCTTTGCAGATGAGCCTGGTTTTATTCCATGTCAGTTGAAGGCTGATAGCTCAGCCTAAGATGCCACATGTACCATTCCCACTCACATACTGGTAACTGCTTTGCTGAAGGACTCCTTCAAGCTGCAGCTTTCCTGGGCCAGTCAGTATTGAAAACGAAGCTTTTTGGTATCTTCCCATGAAGCTGTTGCCCAGCCTCCCGAGGCTAAGGAGGGAAGGATGCATAATGGCTTGCTGTTAGGCCTTTCTCTCTGTGGGCTGTGTTACTAGGCACCACTGAAACAATCCCACTTGGATCCAGAAGGCTTTTGTTGGAGGTTCAAAGCGTGCAAACTCTGAAGGTTTGTGGTTCCTTTGTACATGCTGGGGGGTGGGATATCTGTGGGGGAGAGTTGAAGTCCTGGCAAAGAAGTCACTTTTGAAGTCACTTCAGTATTGTTTGAGCTGCTTCCAATAGTGTACTGTTCAAAGTGTCATTATGAAGTCTAGAAATACATTAAGAAGCAAAAGTCACCCAAGATCCTGCCACCAGCTAACCCACAGTGTATTTGTGATGTATTTATTCTAGATTATTCCTTGTATTGTGGCATGAAAGAATTTTGGGGGGTTGATAGAACTGCTTTGTGGTGGGGCTCACAACACATCTGTCAGGACACTTTGAAAGGGTAAAGTTAACATTTTGCACATTAAGAGGACATCAATTTGCTCATGAATCTGCGATGCAGGGAGGGCTTGGTGAAGACTGTTTCTGCTCTGTGTAGTGGCAGCTAGTATCTTACAGACCTGGGGGCTGACAATGGCAGTTGGGTGGGAGCTGTCGGAACAGCTCACGTGATCCTCATGTGGCCGTCCGTACTGGTTGACAATATGGAGGCTATGTCTGTAGGCCCCAAACAAGACAGCAGCAGGGTTTGTAGGAGCTGACTTCAGAAGTCACATGGTGTTACTTCCTATGAACTTCATTGGCTGAGGTGGTCACACACATTTGTCTGACCCACTGGATGGGAGGAGTATTGGCCACACAAAGGAGGAAGAGCTTGTGAGAGAATGTCTGAGAGGTGGCATATCTTCATAAAACACAGTGCCACGGGTCCCTAAGCCCTGCTCTTGGAGAATTATCCCTGAAGGCCTGGAGTGAACCCTGAGAATATTATTAACATATTATTATTATTATTAACATGTTGTTGCTAACATTACTATTAAGCTGGGAATTTAACCAGGGCCTGACACACGCTGGGCAAGCTCTTCACCATTGAGCTATATCTCCTTTTTACTTTTTATTTTAAAGCAGAGTGTCCCTAAACTGCCCAGGTTGGTCTTGAACTCACGTTGTAGCCCAAGATAGCCTTGAACTTGTGATTCTCTTGCCTCAGTCTCTTAAGTAGATGGGATGAAGGCCTGTGCCAGCCAGCCCAGCACAATCTTATTTTTGATGCATTCTGGGTAACATTGATGTGCATTTAGGATGGGCTTTGGCCCTTCGGCCTAGACCTTTGGCCTCTCACCCTGAGCCTGTGGAGTATGGCTGCTCTCCTAGGTAATGTAATCAAAGGCAACTTGAACTCTGTTGCCAGACTACACAATCATGTCTCTCCCCTCTCCACCTCTATATCTATATCTATATCTTACACACACACACACACACACACACACACACACACACACACACACACGCACTTCCTGGGAGGGTCCTGCCCAGTTTGACTGTGCCTTACTGCTGAGGCACCTCCACTTGTCAGGAGCTGATTGATATCTGATGACGTGAAAGAGTAAAGCTAGACTTCAAGTAGGTTTTGTGGTGGGCAATAAAATCTTGACACTCAGTAAGACTTCTTCCTGATTTTCTTCTGGCTCTCTACTATTTAATTAAGGGATTGCTATTCACAAGTATCTTGAGATGAAAAGAAAGGATAAAGATGCTCAATTCTGATACAGAGCTGAGTTTCCCAACTGGCTCTTCATTATACGGGTTTACAGGTTCTTGGAAATCTGAGTCCTCCAGACCTCTGCACCAGTAGCATATATTTGTTTCTGCACTGGACTGGCTGGGTTTGTGTGTCAACTTGACACAAGCTAGAGTCATCAGAGAGGAAGGAGGCTCAGTTGAGGAAATGCCTCAATATGATCCAGCTGCAAGGCATTTTCTCAAGTAGTGATCAATAGGGGAGGGCCCAGTCCATGACGGTGGTGCCATCCCTGGGCTGGTGGTCCTGGGTTCTATAAGAAAGCAGGCTAAGCAAGTCATGTGAGCAAGCCAGTAAGCAGCACCTCTCCATGGCCTCTGCATCAGCTCTTGTCTCTAGGATTCTGCCCTGTTTGAGTTCCTTTCCAGGCTTCCTTCGGTGATGAACAGCAATGTTGAAGCACAAGCCAAATAGATCTTTTCCTCCTCAACTTGCTCTTTGGTCATGATGTTTCATCGCAGCAATAGGAACTCTAAGGAGACATCACTTAATAAAAGTAACTGTTTAAATTAATATGAAAGGACCCTTCAGTGGGAAGTCAGAGTCAGGGTGATAGGTGGAACCCGGGAACCAGGATCCTGTGTCTGCTCCTGAGGGATGGTGCTGCTAAGCTGTCTTGCTTCATGATGTCTTTAGGAGCAGCTGTATCCCAGTAGCTTTTTATTCTTACAGCTCCGTGTGCATTTTCTACATGTCTTGGTTCACAGAGTGCAATCTCCGGTATGCTGGAGGTGTGGGCAAGGTGAACAGGCTTTCTTAAAGGGGGCGTGCTGCCCTTCAGTGTGGACCCTTACAGTTTTTCCTGAGGTTCAGGTTTTATCTTGATTTAACCTGAGGGTTCCATGCAGTATGCAGTATTCTGGAATGTACCATCTCATCTGGTGACCTAGGAGAGTATGCTCTGGGAGGCTTGGGACCTGGTTCCAGCTCCAGCTCAGCTGAGGTTCTGCTCTTTGACCCAAAGTAGGCCATAGTTCAACTTCAAACTACTTTTCTCAGCAACCCAGTGTCTGTGGGTGGAACCTTGTGTCCAATTTTCTTTCCTAAACTGGCTGGTAAGTGGGAACACTCCCTCACTAGAAAACTTACCCACCCCTCTGCACCTTCCATTGCCCATTGTGCTAGTTGCTGCCTGCCCTTTGGGGCTGTGCACCAAAAGCCATCCTGCTGTCCATCAGTTTCTGTGAACTTGTCACGAGCCTTCACCCCTCAAGGCCCGGTATCCGCCATTTCTTCTGCACGGGCTCTCTTGCTTTCACCAATCCGCCTGGCTTTCGCTACCTCTTGGAGTCCATCCCTGTTCAATCTAGCCAGTCCACTGTGGGTTGTTCCTCTCTGACTCAGGCCACTTGGTGTGTTGTGGTCTTCCGGGTCAGGGCCAGCAGTTGAGGTGCTTGGCCAGGGTGTGTTCAGGGTGTGGGTGGGCTTTGTCAGAGGAGTGCGGGCATTGGTGGTCAGGAGTCTACAGATCTCAGGGCAGTGCTGTAACGTACTTGCAGGGGGTAGAATACTTCACCCTTCCAAGCCTGTATCCTTATCTCGGGCGTGGTGGTGGGGAACAAGACAGAATTTTCACGGTATTTTCAGGACATCAGCCCCAGAAGCAGAAAATCTAACGAGAGAGTTTTGGGGTGTGAGTATGTACAGACAGACCATCACTTTAGCTTTATTTAAGCGTGGGAGACGAGAGTGGGTGGAGCCATAGAAAGGATCCAGCAGGGTCAGTCGCATAATAGGTATGGAGCTCCTGGTGAGAGTTTTTTTAATATTGGGTAAATAAACGAATGGGTGAAGGCAATCGCTTTCTGAATCGGCCTTTCACCTTTTGGACTGGTCTGGTGCACCCAGGCTGCGCAGAGGCTGTGTCGCGAGAAATCTCTCCTTATATGTCTGCCTGCTTGCGTAGTGAGCTCCTTGAAAAGCTCTGACTCCCTCAGAATACCTGGAAGAAGGTTCCCAGAGCCTGCAGGCAGGAGCCGAACTCAGCTGGGGGAAGGAAGCCCCGCCCCCAGCCGTGGGCTGAGGTCTCCTGGCAACCGCCTAACAAAGTCCCTTTGGGATCAGCTACCTATAGCGCCTGCGCCCAGCTTCCCTGATCAGAGTGGCTGCCACTGTGCAGCAGGTGCAGGAGCCCACAGGTGTGCTTACTCACAGGTAACCTTGAGCTTGGGTTCAGCCTCCGTTTCACCTCAGACGCCCCAGGCCCCCCAGGCGCTGACTTCCTGGCAGCCAGAGTTCGGTAGCTTGAAATCTGAGTGATGTCTGAGCCAGAGCTCTCTGTGTCTTGCCTCAGGGCATCTTGCTGGGGTCCAGTGTGTCCTGTGCCGGCTCAGTTCCCCTTTCTGCAAGTGGCAGCTGTCTGTTCTGTGCTGGGGCCACCTCCAGGACTCTGCCTCAGCCTCTTGAGAGGAGTCAGGTCTCCCACCTTCCCGTGCCTCCCGGGTCAGCGGTGAACTAGCTCACCTAGATCTGGATGCCAAGAGCACCCATTGACCAACTCCTGATTTCTGAGCGAGGAGTTGCTGGGCTCAGGTCAGAGGAATATCGCTGCTCGTCACTGCCAGCTGCCTCTCTCTGGCTTCTTCACCCACTGCTTCTCCTTAACTACGAAGCACTCACTGTATAAGTAGGCCTCCACTGAAGCCTGGGACATTGGAAACAAGACAGAGATGGGACCCGGAGGATGGGCCTTCCTGCACTGGGCACGTTTACTCCTGAGGTCTTTGCTGTCTCCCACCAGGACCGTTCTGGTGTTGTACAAGATGTCTCTGCGGGCCTGGGAATGGGAGGAAGAGGGGAGAGCAAGCATGGATCCTGCCTCCTCCATGGCTAGTGCTTACCAGTCAGCAAGCGAGTATGAGACGGAGGAGTACCTGAAATCCAGGACCCCAGCCCAGGAATGGGACTCTGAGGACCAGTTCAGCAGCCTGCATTCCTCAGAAGGGCCTGCCTGCACCTATAACTCTGATGTGCCCCAGGTTGTCCCCTGCAGATTCGTTATCTCACTGGCCTTCCCCGCAATCACGGGTAGGTGCTGAAGCACAGCTTTACTCAACTTCTGCACAAGGCAGGACACTACTTGGCTTCCTCTAGGAGTTAGTGAGTGCTCATGTCTTGCCTCCTTCCTCTCCACCAAGTCCCCTCCCATGGTAGAGTGGCTAGTATCAACTGAGGCAGAGGTCAGAAAAAGAACAGACAATTCAGGGGACCCAGCTATTGGCTAGGCATGAAAGTGATTGTGTGACTCACTCAGCAAACTCGGGCCCCAAGAAGCAGGTCATATTCATATTCATATTCTCTCTCTCTGTTAGTGTGTGTGTGTGTGTGTGTGTGTGTGTGTGTGTGTGTGTGTGTGTATTTGAGACAGGATCTCACTATGTAGCTCTGGCTAGACTCAAACTCACAGAGATCCACCTGCCTCTTGAGTGCTGGGATTAAAGGCATGGGCCACTATGCCCAGCCTAGACATTCTTATATATACATTTTTGTGCATATGTGTGGTCACTTCTGTATTCCTAATTCCAAGAGGCAGAATTGTTGTTTTGAAGGTATGCACTTAAAATTGTTTAATGGGTGTTGTCAAATTGTCCTTGAAAGGGTTATAATATTTTGCCCTCCCAGTAACAGAAAATGGAAGTTCTATTTACCCCCTCCCCATTTGAGATAGTGTTTCTCTGTGTAACTCTGGCTGTCCTAGAACTCACTCTGTAGACCAGGCTGGCCTCCAACTCACAGAGATCTGCCTGCCTCTGCCTCCTGAGTGCTGGGATTAAAGGCACGGGCCACCACTGCTTGATATTTTTCTTTCTTTCTTTGAGACAGAGTATCATTGTGGAGCTCTGGCCAGCCTGGAACTGAATAAGTAGACCAGGCTTGGCCTCAAACTCACATACATCCATTTGCCTCTTCCTTCCAAATGCTGAGATTAAAGGTGTGTACCACCATATTTGGCTATTCATTCATTTTTGTCTAGATTTGCTCTGATTGGATCAGAACAAGCTCTCTGGCCAGTTGTATTGTCTAGTCAGGATTTCTATTGCTGCAGTGAAATGCTATGACCAACAGCAAATTGGGGAGGAAAGGGTTTATTTGGCTTACACTTCCACATCACTGTTCATCATTGAAGGAAGTGAGGTCAGGAACTCAAGCAGGGCAGGATCCTGGAGGCAGGAGCTGATACAAAGACCATGGAGGGGTGCTGCTTACTGGCTTGCTTCTCATGGCTTGCTTAGCCTGCTTTCTTATAGTGCCCAGGACCACCAGCCCAGGGGTAGCCCCACCCACAATAGGCTGGGCCCGCCTATGCCAATCACTGATTAAGAAAATGCCCTACAGGCCTGCCTGCCTACAGCCCAATATTATGGGTTTTTCTCAGGAGACGTTCCCTCCTCTCAGATGCCTCTAGCTTGTATCAAGTTATTATAAAACTAGCCAGAACATGTACCTTTATAGGAGGTCTTAATATCTATAAGAATTGACAGGTAGATCTCTATTTCAAACTGCTTAATGCTAACTACTGTGGCAACACAGGGGTGAAGCAGAAACTTCTGCCTGGAGTGAAAGACCCGAAGTCACAGAACTGCCTTTTGGGCTGACGAGGGAGCAGTGGTAGTGTGTCTAGCATGTTCAAGGCCTGGGCTCTTTCCCAGTGCTGCAAAACAAGACAAAAACCAAAAGCAAACAAACAAAAACCTGAAAAAATGCAAAAAGAGAAACAAAGTCCCAGAACCCAGAAACAAAAAATAAATGGAAAAAAGGGTAGTTTTAAAGGTTTTCATACTTTAGGGTTCAAGTGATGGCACACTCCTTTAGTCCCAGCACTCAGGAGGCAGAGGCCAGTGGATCTCTATGAGTTCGAGGTTAGCCTGGTCTACATAGTGTGTTCCAGGTCAGCCAAGACAACATAGTGATACCTTGTCTTAAAGAGATAGAGGAGGTAGGGAAATAGGCTATTTAAAATCTTTGTTCTCATTAATTTTTCTTTGGTATCCTAAAGATAATTACGATATTTGAATTGATGTGTATGGAAAACTGGGTTTATACTGAAAGTCCTTGGGAGGCAGGAAGGTCACTTTGGTCCAAGAACCTGAGACCAGCCTGGAAAACTTGCTGAGATCTTGTCTCAAAACCAACCAACTGAACAAGTTTATGTGGGGTTCCTAAGCGCCATCTAATGGTAGGAAAAGGAAGACCCAACCTAAAAGATTCCTTTAAGCTCCTGGCCCACTCTGATGGCCCCTCGGGTTTCGGCCTCTGGCTGAGCCTGGCCTCATTTCTGTATCTGATCAGCCTGTCTACTTGACATGGGCAGCATCACTGCTGAAGTTCTTGCTAGGCTGTTTCCTCCGTCTGGATGTCTGCTATCTTCGCTCCTACAAGACTTTGCTAAGAGGACCTAGGAGGCAGGGTCCTGGGTAGATGCTGCTCCCAGCATCCTGTTGTTCATCAGAACCCTGCTCATGCTGCTTCCACATTGTCCTGAAATTTTGACCTGCTTCTTAGGGCTGGGTCTGGAAGGAGACAAACCGGGTGGCTGACACACAATCTTAAGGAGTGCCCACTCTCAGAGCATGCCCTTCAGTTTTGTGTGCATGATGCTTAGTTACACACTGTCCTCTGCCGAACTGGGTCTGATGGAGAAGCAACATGGCAGCACACAGCCCCCACAGCACGTGCTCTTTGTGTTAGTTGTTAGTTAGTTAGTTAGTCACAGAAAAATACCAGAGACACTCAACTTGTAAGAAGCGAAGGGTTCTACTGGCTCACAGTTCCAGACCGTGACAACTTGGATCATGATTAGTTTGGGACCTGTCATGAAGCAGGACATTATGGTGGAAGTGCCTGGGGAGGAAACAGCCATGGTGGGGGGTGGGGTGGGGGCAAAGACAGACAAAGGGATTAGATGCTGGTATCCCAGCATCACCTCTGGGGATGCACTCCCACTGACCTGGTCTTCTCCTATGAAGCCCAACTGAATTTCTACTACTTCCAGGTAACAGCACTGGCTAGGAGCACATGGGCTGTTGGAGACCTTCCCAAACTACAGCAATGTTTTTTGCTTTCATGGAGCTGTGGGCCCTGATCTTGTTTCCCAAAGGTTAGAACAAGGCTCACTAAACTTGTGTCTTCTAGTTCAAAAAGGAAAAGTCACAAATTATAGTGATAAAAAGAAAGCCCCTAAACCAGACAACCGGTCTGCAAAGGCTCGTCGATTCTACCACATTGAGTATTTTTTCCTGCCTGATGATGTAGAACCCAAAAAAGTTGATATCGTGGTGTTTCCTGGAGTGGCCAAAGTGTTTCTGGAGTCAGGAATAAAGGTGGGTGGTGTGTGTGTGTGTGTGTGTGTGTGTGTGTGTGTGTGTGCGTCTTTGCATGGAATGTCACACTGAGGATGCAGAAGATGCCTCGCTGACCCACAGCAGACCCAATGGTGGAGCTTTCTAGATATGTGGGATCCTGGGTAACCTCCTGAGTGAGATGCAGAGTGGACCTGCAGATGCAATTATACAGATTCTTCTTTAGATGCCTTTCTTGGATGTAGTTTCTTGGATGTTTCATCAAACAAGGTTTTTGTTTTATTTTGTTTTTTAAGTACTGAGCATTCACTGTAGGCCCTGAAAGTTCTTTCTTAGTATGTGTATATATACACATGTGTGTGAATGTTCAAGTGCAAGGGCTATTCCAACATGCACACACACATGGAAACTCCCTCAATGGTTTGGCTCTGCATCCTTGATGGGAAGTAATCACCAGGGACACTGCGCATGCATTGGCTTAAATTGTAGTTTTCAAGGAACTGGTGACCCTGACAGGGTCCAGTGCACAGGGCCCCACTTCCCTGGGATTTGGAGCTAGGAGAGAGGCAGCCACAGAAGCCAGCTAGGCAGAGGGTGTCATACCTGTTATGTTGCTGCTGGGGCTGGGCTGTGGGAAGTGCCTGGTCTGTAGGTTAGCCCTTCATTTCCCACAGTCTCTGAATGGTATTTCCACAGACTGTGAAGCCATGGAAAGAAGATGACAAAATCTGGGTGTCATGGAGCCAAACCTTTAACGTCAACATGACAAAGGAATTACTAAAGAAAATAAACTTTCACAAAATCACTTTGAATCTCTGGGACACCAGGGACAAAGTTTCTAAAAAAGTCAGATACCACCGGCTGAAGACAGCTGTTTACACGGAAGACCCGGAATCTTTTGGTAAGTCAGGTGTTTTGCTTGTATTTTAAGTATTCCTGGCAACTTGTGTTGGACACACCTAGTCCAGAAATCTAAAGTCTGAAATGATATCAAGTTCAGTACTTTTTTAGAGCTGACACAATAGCTCAAGTGGAAAATTCCACAACTGAAGTCACATGACAGCAGATTGTGGTCAAAACAAAGGCTCATCAAAATACCTTGTAGTGTCTCCTCTGGGCGATGAAAGGAGTATTCACACAGTGAGAAGGAATCTCCTGTTCTCGAGTTGGGCTTCTTCCCCTAAGACACTTCATTTGTATACGAGAATATTCCAAAATCTGAAAAGAGTTCTACGTCCCAAGCATTTAAGATAGAGGATTTTAAATCTGTAATCAGAGTAAAAGCGAGTGTTCCTTTGTGCCCTCACAAGACACTGCTTCTTGTCGTGGAGTGTGCCATCCACCCAGGACACACCTGGGGAGTCATGGTGTGTCTGTGTCCTTGGGCAGTGTCTATGTGCCTCCCTTACCTTTGGTGACCTTTGGTTCCAGGGCAGCTCTCAGATGAGTTCCCATCACTAGCCTTTCTCCCCAGACTGATAGTGTATGTTTACTCAAAATTAAATAGGGATACCAAGAAACAAAAGAAGAGTTTTGCTTGTGTGTACAGTGTAGTGGTAACAGGCATGTCTTGCATGTATGAGTCTCCAGGTTCCGTCTTTAGTTCCAGGAAAAGAAACAGACTGTTAAGAATTCCACCTCCTCCAGCCGGGATGGTGGCTCAGTTGGTAAAGTGTCTGCCATGCAAATCCGAGGACGCAAATCTGACCTTCCAAATCTCATGGGGAAAAGATGGGTGTGGTGACATGCACCTGCAACCATAGTTTTGGGGAGGTAGAGATGAGGGTCCCTGGGACTTGTGACCACCAGCCTAGTTTCAGGTTTAGTGAGAGACTGTCTCAAAAAACTAAGGTGAAGCGGGATTGAGGAAGGTACTCAACTTCAACCTCTGGCCTCTGCATGCATTCTTACCCCCCTCCAAACAAGTATACATATACACAAATGCTACCTCTTCAGGACAACATGCTCACATCTGTGTAGCTCATTTCAGAGGAGTTTTGTTGTTGTAGGGCTGGGAGTGGAATCCAGGGTCTTGTACATGCTAGGCAAATGCTCTACTTCTGAGCTATCACCCCAACCTTTTTTGTGACCCTCTCCCAAGTTTATTTTGAGAGGCTATTACTAAGTTGCCCAGGTGGCCTGGAGCTTTTGATCCTTCTGCCCCAGCCTCACTAGTGCTGGGATGACAGGGCTATGCAGCATACCACAGACTTTCATTTGTGTGACTACACCAGTGTCTGATTCTTCTGAACTTCCCTAAAACAGCAAGGAGAGATGGAGAGAGAGACAAATGCTGGGATGTCATAGCTATCCTGTCCCATCTCCTTCTTATCCTAGTGTTGACTATAGGCAGGTTCTTTTTTTTTTTTTCTGAGATAGGATGTGGTAGTTTGAATGTAATTGCCGCCATAAGCTCATAGGGAGTGGAACTATTAAGATGTGGCTTTGTTGGAGTAGGTATGGTCTTGTTGGAAGAAGTATGTCACTGTGGAGGCAGACTTTGAGTTGTCATATATGGTCAAGCCATGCCCAGTGTCTCAGACCACTTCCTGTTGCCTGCGGGATCAAGATGTAGCTCCTTCTCCATTCTTAGCTCCTTCTCCAGCACCATGTCTGCCTGTATGCCGTCATGTTCCGCCATGTCCCAACATGGTGATAATGGACTAAACCTCTGAAACTGTAAGCGAGTCCCAATTAAATGTTTTCCTTTATAAGAGTTGCCATGGTCACAGAGTCTCTTCACAGCAATAGAAACCCTAACAAAGACACAGGGTTTCTCTGTGTAGCCATGACTGTCCTGAAACTCATTCTGTACATCTGGCTGGCCTTGACTTCATAGAGATCTGCTTGCCTCTGCCCCAAGTGCTCAAATTAAGGGCATGCACCACCATCACCCAGCTATAGGCAGGTTCTTGAACATCCCTCTCATCTGTAAAAAAAGAGAATTGAATAGTGGCCATGCCACTAGCATGCTACAGCAGGATGGTGAGAGTAGACTCCTAAGACTCAAGCAACAGGACAGTGTGTGTTGGCCACGGAGAACTTAAAAATTAGAATGAGGTGCTGCAAAGGAGTGGATGCTGGGTGATGTAGCATGAATCTTAAAAGTTCTTATTTTAATAAAATCAAACCTGAGCCAGGTATTGGGGTGAAATGCTGGAAGATCAGAGAGACAGAACAGGCCACAGCCACCTCACCTGGCCAATTCCTCAGGTGATCCTGTTTCCTCAGACTGGAAGCCTCTGAGACCTCATCCAGAATGAATCTCAGCTGAACTGCTGCTCAAAAGCCTGAAAGCTTAACCAGCCAAATGCTGCTAGTTTCTGGTCTTCACGCCTCATATATCTTTTTCTTTCTGCCGTCACTCCCTGGGATTAAAGGCGTGAGTCACCATGCTTGGCTGTATCCTTGAACAGATGGATTTCTGCTTCTGGAATGCTAGGATTAAAGGCCTGTGCTACCACTGCCTATCCTCTATGTTTAATATTGTGACTGTTCTGTCTCTGACCCCAGATAAGTTTATTAGGGTGCACAATATTTCGGGGAACACAGGTGAGAATCCTGTGACTCTCTCTGATGCTCAGAGAAAGTAAAGAGAATCCATGGGGGTATGTGGTCTTTCCTGTGGATGAAAGAATGTTTAGCAGTATCCTAGGCCTAAGAATCCCTTCATGTATTAACAGGTGTCCTTAGTGGGTTTGGGTCACCACTCACTGAATACCACTGATTTAAAACTAAACTCCTATCCATAGAGTTTCTATGGAAGAAAGTGGGACCAATATATAACTTCTGTCATTCAGACCAAAGGAAAGATTTCTGTGCTCAGGATGGGGGCTACTGGCTACCTGTAGGTGTCCTTTGTGGATTCCAGGGCCTGGCCTAAGGTGGAATTTCTGGTCTGTGTCTGTGTCCCACTGGAGCGGGTGTTGGGACAATAGCTTCTGCCTGGCCTGTTGAGAGGACCCTGCAATCCAGTGGGCCAGAAGAACGAGGTCTGGACCCTACAGGGAGAGCCCATGGCCTCTGCCTAGGGTGCTTTGAGTCATCACAGCAAGAGCTTTTCCTTGAGCTCCGTCCCAAGCCTGGTGTCCCTGCCTCTTGTTTTAAAAACATTTTTTTCCATTAAAGGAACAGTGGATACTCACTACATAAAACCCAGTTAGAAATGTCTAGGAAGAAGGAAGAAAAACTGAAGGCACACAGTGTCTGTCCAGAGATGGTCATTATTAATAGCCTCCCTGTGGATCTGTCTTTTTTCACGTAAAAATACCTAGTAGACACCTTATTTCTTGGGAGTATAGAAACACCCTAAGAGGGCTGTTCTATATGGCAGAAGGACATTGGTGTGGCAGATCGTGTGCTAGAGGTCAGTGGGACATCTGTAGTAAAGCTGGCCTTTGTGCTTCCTCACGCTCAGTTCCTTGGGTGTTCAGTGCTGGGTGAAAACGTTATTCTTGAACTCCACAGATGGTATGGTAGCCTCTGCTACACTCTCTTCTTTACCCTTCTCTCCCAGCATCTGCTGCCTACTTGACGAGGGTTTTCCAGAACTCTGCCCTATGGCTGTCTGCGTCAGTTCTCACTCTCTTAGCATCTTTCTCCCCACCCTGTCTCCTCTCTCCTGCTACCAGGGCCAGTATCTCTCCATTGATCCTGGTGTTTCATTGAAGGTCTTTTAGGACTTGCTCCCTCAGGCTCCATTTTTGTTGTTGTTGTTTTGTTTTTCGAGACAGGGTTTTCTCTGTGTAGTTTTGGTTCCTGTCCTGGATCTCACTCTGTAGACCAGGCTGGCCTTGAACTCACAGAGATACACCTGGCTCTGCCTCCTGAGTGCTGGGATTGAAGGCGTGCGCCATCGCCACCCGGCTCAGGTTCCATTTTTGTTGTTGTTGTTGATGCACCCACCCCGTCACTCAGGACACTGAACTCCTGGCAGGGCTTCCTTCTGGCAGCTGGCCACATCTTGGGGACCTCTCATTCCTATCTCTTTCTCCAAAAATTGTATCTGCCTTTCAACAATGAGTCAGATTTAGCTTCTTCTTTTTTACTTCTTTCTTGACGTTTCCATGATCTTCACTTACTCCCTTATTCACTTACACATTCACAATGTATTCATGGAGTGCTTGATACTGTCATGAGAGGGAGGCTCCATGCTGACAGAGAGACTGGCCTGGGGATGCAGCTCCCTGCCTAGGACAAGGACTGCATGTGGACCTGGTTCTTCTAAGGCAGTGGTTCTCAACTTTTGTGATGCTTTGACCATTTAAGATAGTTCCTCATGTTGTGGCGTGTAGGTGGAATTTTCCTGTCCTGACTGCCTGCTCCTGAATAACTGACACAGAGGCTTAATATTACTTATAAATGCTCAGCCAATAGCTCAGGCTTGTTACTAGCTAACTCTTATACCTAAATTAACCCATATTTCTTACCTATGCTTTGCCACATGGCTCATGGCCTGCTACCTCATCTTCTATATGTCCTGCTTCTTCGACAGCTGGCTGGCTTCCCCGTGACTCTGCCCTTCCTCCTCCTAGAGTCCTCTGTGTCTCGATGTCCTACCTATACTTTCTGCCTGGCTACCAGCCTGTCAGCTTTTTATTAACCAATGGAAGCAATACATATTCACAATGCACAGAATGATTATTCCACAGCAATGGTGACCCCCCCCACACACCATAAAATTATTGTTGCTACTTCTTAACTGTAATTCTGCTTCTGGTATGAATCATAATGTAAATTTTATCTGATATGCCAGATAGTTGATATGGTGGTGACCCACAGGTTAAGAACCTCTGTTTTAAGGATTCTGATATAGAAAACTGACCTAAGTATCAGCTTCCCCATGGGAGGTGTTAGAGAACTGGGTGTTTTTGATGGACCAATTTTCTCATTCTAGAAGAAGTGAAACTTTTGGTTTTAAGTCAGAAAAGGTTGTCTACAATTTCCAATCATAAACCCAGCGTTGTCACTGAGGAGTTGAAAGAAGAGAGCCCACCAGGTGACCAAGAAAAGGCAGAAAAACACTTGAAGTCTCCACAAGGTGAGGAGTGATGGCTGTGGACACCTGAGCTCAGCACTGTGCCAGGAGACAGGCCAGTATGCATCCCATTGCCCATCTAGTCATTGCTCCCGTGCCCCTGAGAGTCTTGATTTTGATGGTTGATTCTTCTCCCTTTCCCTGCCCTGTCTTCTCTCTCCCATTAGCTTTCCCTCTTTTGATTTTTTGAGTCAGGGTCTCACTAACTTGGCCTAGAACTTACTATGTGGGCCAGTAGGCCAGGCTGGCCTTGAGTGTGAAGTCTTAGCCTCCTAAATATTGGAATTGCAACTATGAGCCAGTGTGCTGCTGATTTAATGGATATTTGTTTCATGACTTAAAAACAAAGCAAAAAAACCCCACAACAATAAAACATTTTTGGGCTTTGGAAGCTAATTTTAAAAGAAAATCCAGTCACTATAGAAAAGTCTAAAAAAGTAGGAAAATAATCTATGATCCCATTGCCAATTGCAGTGGATGAGATATTTTGGTTGTTTTGTTACATCAAATCTCTCTGTTTTTGTTCTAGGACTCATTTTGTTTTTTTTTTAGCATGTGGGTTTATCCAAGATACACACAGCGCTTCTGTCTTCTGAGAGGATTTGTATATCATCACAAGCAGCTCCCATGTCCTTAAGAACTTTCTATAAACTTCGTTTGTGGTGGCTATGTAGTATTATGTAGTATTTTATCCAAAAAGACTGTAATTTGGCTAACCCTTTTCTATAGTTGGGAACTTGAGACTCTCAGGAGTGCCTTCAGCATTCCACAATATATTGATAAGCAGTACTGAAACAACACTTTGACGTAGAGTAGACCTTCCTCCTCCTTCTTGGCGGGTAGGGTTCCACTCACCTTCATTTGCCCAGTAATTGCAATTCATCTGGTGTGTCCTTCACTCGTTAAGAAATCCTGCTTCTGAAGGCTGCTGCGTTAGGCCTTTGCCAGCAGATGTGTCACTGACATGAGCAGGGACATCATTTGCTGGGAACCAGCACTGAGTGAAGCTTGGAGACTCTTGTTAATGTTTGATTCTCACCAAGCAGAGCCTGAAAGTCCTTCTAAGAACGGTGAGGAATGTGAGAAGTCACTCAAGACGGAAGACTCCTCTGGATCTCGGTAAGGAGAGCTGCTTACTTGGTGTTGGAGTAAGGCCCCTCCTCACCAGCCCAGCTCTGAGTCGTTATACATCCTTTTGCTGGTTTTGGTTAAGGTGGAACTGAAGCAACCTAGGGAAAGGGAAAGACCAGGGAAGGAAAGGGAGCTGGTGTGCTCTTGGCAGGAATGTTTCTCCGAGACTGACCCCCAATCTCTGAAAAAGGCAGCAAGGGCCTCCACTGAGTTTCACTAAGTCAGAAAGCTGGCATTTGGGGGCAGCCAGGATTCTAGCCTGCAGCCTCAGTCTGTGGAGCCTCAGCTAGGGCTTCCAGAAAGTCACCATCCTGGGTCCTCAGACAGCCAAGCTGGTTCTGGAGAAGTAGGGTGGAGACTGGAAGTATAGCTGTGGGTCTGGGGGTGCTATGAAGAGAGCCGGGACCACATGCAGTAGGCAGTGGTAACTTCCCCAGCTCGGTCTTCTTTGGTGACGGTCTCTCCGCTGCTCAGGTTAGGCTCATGTTCTCAAGCTCAAGCCAGTCTCCTGCCTAAACCTCTTGAGTGTAGGTCTGAAGGTACATGCAATCATGTCTGGCTAACAATTTTGACTTTTAAATATTGTTTTTCATTGAATTGTCATATTAAATTGAGAAAATTGATCTTTATTTGACATTATCCCACCCATGATCATGGCATATCCTTTTACTTAACATGCACCCTCTTTATAGACTTTCATGGAGCTAATATTTACCTCCTGTAGATGTTGTGGATAATTCTTGAGAGTTCCTAGATATTTCATAGTTTTAGCTACATAGAGAATATATTACTTTTCTTCACATTTTCTAGTTGGTTTGAACCTTGGTCATGCAAGCATGACCCCCTGGGTCATGGTTACTAGAGAATTCAGTAGACTTAATGAGTCCCAGGTTGCCCCAGGTTCCTGAGGCATAATCCACATTTGACAAAATCCCTAGACTGTTCATATACATATACTTTTAAGAAGTAAGTAAGGACCAGTGAGCATATTCAAGACATGGCACCTGTATGCCTTCTCTTCACTATCCTGTCTCTGTGAGGATTTTCTAGACGGACCCCGGCAAAAACACCTGTTTCTTTGGCTGGAACAACCATGATGGAGATCAATGAAATTATCGAGAAAGCCTCATTGAGCAGCTTAACAAACATGATAGAAAAACAAAAGTCTCAAAGTAAGTTATGATGGGATTTTGATATTTTATAACATAATTAGAGTTGAAAAGTTGTGAAATATTTAAATTTAAGGTATTTGAATAAAATTGCTCAGCAATTTTATTCAAATACCTTTTCTTCACAACTAGAAAATGTGAAGAAAAGGTATTTGAATAAAATTGCTCAGCTACTATACTGTATTATATACACTTTCACTTTCCCATCAGTCAAACAATCCATCCATCCATCCATCCATCCGTCCATCCATCCATCCGTCCATCCGTCCGTCCGTCCATCCGTCCATCTGTCCATCCGTCCATCCGTCCACCCACCCACCCACCCATCCACCCATTCATCTATCTATCCACCCACCCACCCATCCATCCATTTATACATCCATCCATCCATCCATCCATCTACCTGTCTGTCCATCTGCCCATCTGTCTGTCCATCTACTCACCCACAGAATTTTGTTTCTTTCCACTCTACCTGGTCCATGATTCCATGGTTATGCAAAGGTAGACATGAAAATGTCTGCTCTCTAAAGCAAACTTCCCGATGAACAGTTGGAACACTGCACGGTAGTGCTGTGTTTGGGGTAGGTTCCGAGTTGTTGGGGTTACGGAAAAACTCTTCATTATAGACAAGGGATGGTTTGCTTCTTGGAGAGATGAAGGATACAACATCTTATGTCATGGGCTGTCTCATACAAAGCATAAAATCTTGGCCTGTAGAACAACAAGAATCCTCAGAAGCCATTTCTCCTGGTTGAGGTTTTTTGTTTTTGTTTTTGTTTTTCCAACTTGACACAAGTTAGAGTCATCTGGGAGGAGGAACCTCAACTGGGAACATGCCTTCATAAGCTTGCTGTAGGCAAGCCTATATGACATTTTCTTGATTAATTATTATTGATGTGCAAGGGCCCAGCCCACTACCGGCAGTGCCATGCCTGGGCTGGTGGTCCTGCATTGTATAAAAAAAGCATGCAGAGCTAGCCAGGAGAACAAGCCGGTAAGCAGCACTCTTCCATGGCCTCTGCTTCATCTCCTGCCCCCAGGTTCCTGCCAGTTTAAGTTCTCAATTTGGTTTCCCCTGATGATGGCCTGTGACCTGTCAGCCAAACAAACCCTCTCCTCCATAAGCTGCTTTTGGTCATGGTATTTTATCGCAGCAACAGAAACCCAAGACACCGCTCAATCTACCTGCTCATTCTTAGCCTGGACTCTCTCACTGTATCTTTGGTAATCAGATGGGTGTCCAGTGGGAGTTGAGGCTTTCCTGGATGGGTTGCTTCACCTTAGTCCTGCGTAACTGCTACAGCTGTTTCCTCCCCTGCCAATCATCCAGATCTTGTTTGGGTGCTGGAGTCTCGAGATGTGGTCCCCACACTCACATTTGAATACCTCTCAAGTCCTCCAGAAGGCTCTCTTTTCTAGAAAATGTGTTTTCAGCTTAGTGAGGGTTTTCTAACCATTCCTTTTATTTTTAATGAAGACAGAAAAAAAAATCCACAGAAAATATAACAAATGTGCCACAATTTAGGATTTAATATTTTGCCATATTTCACCATTTCTTGCTTTTTCTACATGTGTATATTTGTGTGTGTGTGTGTGTGTGTGTGTGTGTGTGTGTGTGTGTGTGTGCAAGCTCATGCACACACATGTGGTTCCATGAATGCCACAGTACACATTTCAAGGTCAGAAGGTTGACCCTGGAAGTCCATCCTTGCCTTCCACTTTGTTTGAGACAGGGTCTCTTTTTTCTTTGTGGCTACATCCACCAGGATAGCTGGCTTCTGGGGACCCTCCTGTCTCTCCCATCTCTCCCTGAGAGCACTGGAACCACAGCTCTGTACTACTGTGTCTGACTTTATGTGAGTTCTGGAGGTTCGAACTCAGGTCCTCATGCTTGTGGGACAAGTTCTTTACCCATAGAGCCATCTCCCTATGCCCTCTTTTCCCTTTTTTTAAGGAACAAAAGATCACAGATACAGTATAAGTGCTCACGGCATCCTGCTTTTTGAGGGCCGTACTTTTCTTGTTTCCTTCCTCCAACCCACTCACTCTCACACATTCGAATAACAGTGTTTTTATCCCTGTGAAAACTGGGAATTGCTCAAAGCTTTCCAATACCTTCAGCTTGCTCTTTGTGCTTAGCTTCATTTCTGAGGCTTACTCATGTCCACACATGTAAGGACACTACCTTCATTCCTACTTTTGTAGAGCACCCTGTCAGATAAATATACCACTGTCCATCACCCCATTCTGTCAAAAAAGGACACTTGAATTTCCCAAGTGGCTTGCTGGCCCTGACACCATTGCAGTGACCACTGTGTTCTCATTGCTTGGGAGACTTGGGGATAAGACAGTTGTCTGTGCCTGCTTTGGATGTTTCTTGTCTAGGTGGGGCTCCACTGAACCCAGCGATCCATGTTGAGGGTTTCCCTTTCCCCCTTTCCAGTGCTCAGCCACATTGGCTCTATACCCTTGGCTTCCAATGTGGCTGTGCAGTATTTTAGAGGCTTGCACAGTCCTGACTTTACATGACCTACCTCACACCATCTGCTAGTTATGGATATCAGTGGTAGATGACCTTCCCAGACAGGGTTTATGACATCCTTTGACTTCACTTGTGGTGTCCTGCATTGTGTCAAAGGTATTTCACTGCCTCTTTCTGGTTTATACTATGTTATACACCTGAGAAACTCTTCCGTGGATGATGCCAGTGTAGGCTCAAGAGGCTGTTCGATGATTCTGAAGTTTATTCTGGAGTTCATTTCGGAGATGGTATGAGATAGCCCTGCCATTTCAGCTGCTTAAAATGGCCAGTCTCTGCAACTTGCTGGAAGTCCCTGCTTTCCTGCTGTTTTGAAATGCCCCTTCTGGCTCCAATCAACTCTCCCATGTGTATACCTGAGCCTGGACTCTCTAGACTTTTCCGCTGGCTGTCATGCTCCCCAAGCTAACAGCTTGTGCTGTTGGCTGAGTTCAACTTGAGCTAAGCACTTTTTCCTTTTTTCTGTTTTTATTTTTTATTTATTTTTATTTTTGTGCGTGCGTGCATGTGAAGGCAAGGTCTCATTATGTAGCCCTGGCTGGTCTGGAACTCTGTATGTACAATGGGATGGTTTTAAACTCACCCCTGTGAATCCCCCTGCCTCTGCCTCCTGGGTGCCAGGGTTAAAGGCATGCACCACCAGGCCCGGCTGAGCTGAGCATTTTCCTCTTTGCTCCTGTTCTCTTTCCCAACACACTGCTGTCATTAGACAGATGAGGTATCTAGGGTTAGAAGCCCCTCCCTGCTCCCACGGGAAGGTGGAACTGGGCTTGGAACTTAGCTCAGCCCCATAGCCCGACCTCAGCGCTGTTCTGGGACTTAATGACTTAAGCAGTTGGAGCACAGTACAGTGTCATCACCATGGTGACCTTAGTCTCAGAGGGGTTGGGAACACCCTCACTCCATACCTGCCAATAGCTGATGATGGCTTGTCACCTAAGCTTAGCTATCCCTCTGGTTGTGAGGAAGAGACAGCAGTACAAAAGATAACCCTGATTTCTAGAAGCTTCCAGAACCTTCCTGATCTCTATATCATATGTGAATATGCATATCGAAGCATGGCAAATCCCTTCTTAACATTTGTTTCCTTTGGTTCTAAAGTAAAAGGGAAAGACTCAGAGGCGAAGAAGAAAAGTCCAAAGAAAGTGAAGAAGTATCAGACAGAGGAGGAGGCAGACCCGAAGCTGCCAACAGCAACCGCCTGGAAGCCGAGTGTCTTTTCCATCCAGCTCTCCGTCATGCCTCTCCTTGCTGGTAGCTAACACATACTTAGAATGCTCACCTGTGAGACACTTGTGGTGACTGAGATCTTGCTCTGTCCCTTATTTCTTCCTCACTGTCACCTCAGGAATCTCTCAACTCTACAGAGAAAGAAACACAGGTCTGGGGAGGTTAGCTACCCTGCAACATCACACAGCTTACCAGTGTAGAGTCAGGAGTTCAATGTGAGTGTTTGACTCCAAAGTACAAGGAAACCCGTGAGAATGACTGTCATGGTTTTGTGTGGTAAAGAAGGTGCTGCTCTTTAGTGACTGCTTTCCTACTGGTCCTCCTTGAGGTAAAGGGAACAGAAGGATGCGGTTTTTATGAACCATTTGTGACATTTACTTCTCATGAGAAGCTTCTGTCCATCCACATGATGGGCTTAGGATGGTGTTGGGGGCAGGGGTTTCTCATTGTCACCATGGTTTTCTAGTGAGAAAAAATTGTGCTAAGTAACCTACCCAGCACATACAGGTCAGTAGTGGAGCAAAAATTGGATTGTTTTGACTTGTAAGATTTTCCACATTTTATAAATTATGCTTCCACCTTCTGACAACCAATAAACAGACATTTATTATATTCATATATTTTGATGCAATCTCAGGATACATTTTAGATTAAATTATTATTATTATTATTATTATTATTATTATTATTTTAGTTTTTTGAGATGGGGTCTCTCTATGTAGCTTTGCGCCTTTCCTGGAACTTGCTCGGTAGCCCAGGCTGGCCTCAAACTCACAAAGATCCACCTGGCTCTACCTCCCAAGTGCTGGGATTAAAGGCCACCACCGCCCGGCCTAAATTCTTTTTTTTAAAGAGTAATGTGGGGGGAAATTTTTTTCTTTTCTATTTAGAGAAAGTAATTTCAAACCTTTCCCAAACCATTTTCTGGCTTTTCACTCTCAGGAGGAGTATGCGCCCTCCACTGGCTATTGTAGAGGGGTGCAGGCTGGGTTCTGAGATGGCACCAACCCCCACACCTGTCCAGTCAAAGCGTCACAGAAGACAATGTGTGTACATTGCTCAGTACAGGATCTTGCCAACAGAGGGACTCTGAGTGGCTGGTAGGGAGGTGACAGATCATTGGGAGAGCAGAGATGAACCCCAACCCTTTAGAGCAACTGCAGGTGACGGTCAATTAGAAAGGCCTTGACTCATCATGGCCAGCTGCTTTCAACGTGAAATCATAGCCTGAGATTATCCACTCCAAAACTCATACAATTTTGTTTGGTAAACATTTTCTATTTTAGGTTAGGCCTGAGGTTTTCTATATCATCATAGAAGCTGGTTCCGGGATTTTTGGGAGATCCTGAGCTTGGGTGTGAACTCTTACATTAAAGGAGGGGATCATGTGTGGAGGGCTGGGGTGAGTTAGCAGCCTGGACTTGGAACTTAGCTTAGCCCCATAGCCCAACCTCAGTGCTGTTCTGTGACTCTACAGGGTAAGAGTTCAGAGTCCTTGGGTGATCGCTTAACATGTCTGAAGCTCAGTTTCCTTTCCATAAAGTGACAGCAGCCCCAGAAGAGCGTCTCAAGGATCAAGTGACAGTGATGTCTGTTTAGAGCTCACCTCTCCTTCCTTCACATAGCAGCAGGGTGTTTCCTCTGGGAAATTGGGTCTCATGAGGGTGACTTGGTAAGGGCAGAAGCATTTTTGGTCATCGTAACTGGGAACAGGGTGCTACAGACACCTGTAGGTGCTGCTGCATGTTCTCCACGTGCCCTGGGTGGCAGGGGCAATAGGGGGTATGCCACAGGTGCTCGTCACATTCTCTTCAGATAGCTGTTGAACAACCACAGTTAAAGAGGTGCCTACCCCTCGGCTCCAGGTACCTATACAGATGTCGCCTGCCTTCATTAGCATTTTGTTTTCATTTAGCTGCCTACTGCAACTTGTCCAGTGGGACTGTCTGAAGTGAAGGCCAGGCTCCACGTCTGCTAGCCTCCAGCCACACAGCCACTAAACACTTGAAATGTGGCCAGTATGGAGCAAGAACACAGACAGTGGATACTGTAGTCATGACATAGGTCTAGAACAGTGGCTGCATAGTCAGTCACCTACCTGTGTAGGAGCCACACACTGGACCAGTTATCTCTATGTGGGTGGCACCCATGCACCAGAACTTGATACTATACTCAAAGTGATTCAGAAAATATATACCTTACCTTTAGATGATCAAGATAAAATAAGAAAAATTCAGTACTCTTAGGGAGCTTAGACTTTTGTTTGGAATGTTGGCATTCAACATTCCACCTGTGGGCATTTCCCAGTTTTTCCAGTTCTGAGGATGGACTCCACAGCTTTGGATATACTAGGTAAAACCCCTACTACTGAGCTACATCCTAGCTCTTGATTTTTGGAAACAAGAGTCTTGCTGTGTAGCCCAGGCTGCCCTGGAACTTGAACATCTCCTGCCTCATTCTCTGTGTGCTAGGATCACAAATGATTGCCACCACGTCCAGTATTCTGATTCTTCTTAAAGGCTTTCCCCTGTAGTATGAATCTTTATTTAAAAATTAAATAAATAAAGGCAACTCATATAAAGGAAAATATTTAACTGGGGGCTTGCTTACAGTTTCAGAGGTTTAGTTCATTATCATCATGGCGAGAAGCATGGCAGCATGCAAGCAGACATGGTGTTGGAGAAGCAGCTGAGAGTTCTACATTTGAATCCACAGACAGGAGGAAAGGAGAGAGCCACTGGTCCTGGCTTGGACTTTTGAAACCTCAAAGCCCGCCCCAGTGGCATACTTTCTCCAACAAGGCCACACCTCTGACCTTCTTAAGTAGTGCCACTCCCTGGTGACTAAGCATTCAAATATATGCACCTATGGTGGCCGTTCTTATTAAACCACCACATTCCACTCCCTGGCCTCCATAGATTTGTAGTCATATCATAATGCAAAAAATAAATAAATAAATAAATGCAATCAGTCCAACTTCAAAAGTCCACATAGTTTATCAGAGTTTCAGCACCATTTAAAATTTAAAGTTCAAAATCTTTGAGACTCATAGCAATCTAACTGTAACTTCATGTAAAATCAAAATAAAAAAGCAGATCATATACTTCCAACATACAATGGCAAGGAATATACATTGCCATTCAACTAGGGAGGAAAAGGGAGCATAGTGAGGAAATACTGGACCAAAGTAAAACTGAAAACCAACAGAGAAACCTTGAAATTCTGCATCTCCATGACTCAGGCCAAAGTGCTCTTCACATTTCCAAGTCCTTCCAGCATTGCTGACTGCAACACGCTTCTCTCCCTTGGACTGCTTCCACTCCCACTCTGAAACTCTCCTCAGCAGGTATCCCACGACTTTGGCATCTCCAACGTCTTGGTGTCTTCAGTACAATCCAGGCTTCACCCTCACAGCTTCACACAATGGCCTCTTTGGGCCTCCATGAAGGAACACCTCTGACACATGCCTGTCCTCAGCATTTTTCCTTAGTCACGGGGGAGAGTCCATGAACCCTTCCTGGTATTCTTGACTCTAAAGCCAGGACCAGGTGGCTGAAGCTACTAAGTTCTGCTGCTTGCTGGGTCTGGAACTTGGATCCCTTGTTCAGTTACATTTATATCAGTGTTCTGTTCCACCCCTTGCCAACTTGACACACAATCATATTTCTTCATGGTTTCCTTTACTGCTTAAGCTTTCTTTAATTCTTTTTCACAAGTTGGAAGCTTAGCTGGGTGGGGTCTTGCTCTGTGGTCACCACTCCCTTTATTCCATATAGCACTAGGCTTTTCTTTAAGCTTTTTAATCTCCTTAAGCACTGGACTTTGCTTCATTACATTTTCTGGTGTTCTTTTTCTCCTCAAACTGTGCATTTTATACTTCTCCTTGCCCCATTTTCTCCTTTTCATTGTGTATCTGCATTAGGAGTGACTACTAGCAAATGACACAGTCAATAAATACTAGGTTGACTTGAAATCTCCTCTGCCAAAGTCCTCAATCCCAAACTCTTCAATTTCGCTTCAGGCAGATTTTTAGGACAAGGGCAAAAAAGCGGCCACATTCTTTGTCAAAGTATCACAAGAATGGACTCTAGGCCACTTACTAATATTCTTCCCCTCTAAAACTACTTGAGTTGAGCTGTTATAATTTACATTAGTCTCAACAATCACTGTCTTCTAGGATCCTACTAGTACGGCCCATTAAATACCACTTAAAATGTTCAACTGTTTTTCTAATATAAAGTCCCTAACTCTACATTCCACCAAAAAAGAGGATAGCCAAGCCTATGTATATTTTTATATACATTGTAAACTATTTTATTTGAATTAGTTTTATTGTGAACCTATTGCTTTAAACTATAGTATTCTAAGACTGAAACCGTGCTGTGGCTGCTGGCTCCACCCACTTTAGCTTTTTCACATGGCGGTGGTACGTTTTCTGCCAGCTCTGGGAGCCATCAACTCTCAGAAATAGTGGGTCTATGTTTCTATCAAAGCAGCGTGTATCCCAGAAACCTCTTTTTGTTTTGTACTGTCAAAGGCTAAATCTACCACGCAGCTTAATGTGTCACTTGTAGAGGCCTCATTGTTGCCATACTGTAGGTCGAGTGCACATGCCAGGAACCTGCCATAGATAGTAGCTCAAACATGCACACTGTAGCTAACTTGAAAGAGACAACTAGGAACTATTTTTAGCTCTGTTTTAGAATCTTTTTACTCAGGTTTCAGGTTTAGGAAACTCTTGCTCCACGTTGGGTGCCATTTGTAGGTGGAGAATTTCTCTCCAGGTTCCACCAAGTCCCGCCAGTCCCAGAGCCCACTTATAAAATAAACACACAGACTCTTACATTATTTAAACTGCTTGGCCATTAGCTCAGGCCCATCATTGTCTAGCTCTTACTCTTATATTTAGCCCATTTCTATTAATCTATACTTTGCCATGTGGCTTGTGGCTTACTGGTACCTTACATCTTGCTTGTCCTGGCGGCGGCTCCAGGCCGTCTCCTTCTCCGCTTTCCTGTTTCTTCAATTCTCTCTGTTAGTCCTGCCTATACTTCCTGTCTGGCTACCGGCCAATCAGTGTTTATTTATACAGAGCGATATCCACAACAGTAACTATCAGATATACAACTACAAATGCATTATATATTTAACCAGGTCATAATTTTGCCTAACAGGATATAACTATCCCATGTACAACTGAAAACACATTATAGATTTAGAAAAGGTGGCAATGTCCCTTGAGGGACATTCTTTTAGTATCTCAAACTTAAATATGGTAACCACTGATACCACCTTAATTGATGTTACATTGCATGATAAAAAAAATTTGAGGAAAGAAAACACAAATATTTGTACAAACACATTATTATAGAAATACAACAAACATTCATGTCAATTATAATCCTCTTTTCTGCCACTGGTCATGTGACCCCAGTTGGTGTTTATAACTACCTTCCTCTACTACCCATTCTATATTTCCTCCATCCTCAGCGAACACCTCAGCAGGTCTTAATTGCTTTCTTGGATGAGTGGCCCACACCTTCATTCCTAATGGTCTGTACCCCTTTCATTCTGCCTAGATTAGGTTGTTGTAGTTACCCATTGACTTTAATCCCAGGACATGGTAGCCCAAAAAGATCTCCTGCACTCCAGGCATAATCTTTCTTACCTCCTTTGTGGAGAAGCAATCCAATTTCCCCTTGGTAATCTGGATCAGTACATTTCCTAACACTGTTATTCCTTTCTTAGCCTGTAGGTTTCAGGCTATTAGAAGCCCAAAGTGGCTTTGGTGGGGGGTGTGAGGGTGGTGTCTGAGCTTCCAGACCAATGGAATGTTATGTCTTCTAGAAGTCATGCCAGAACAGTAGTATTTAGTTTTATCCTGACCCTGGGCTATCTAGTCTCAGGTTCTTAGCCACCCAAGTAGCATTGAGTATAGGTCTCATCTCATGGAGTGGGCCTTAAATCAGATATTGCTGGTGACTCCCACAAGCTTTGTACCACCATTGCTCTAGCATACCATGCAGGCAGGACGCCATTGTAAATCCAAGGTTTTGTAGCTGCCTTGGTATTTGCATTTCTCTTTTGGTAGCCGCAGAGTACCTTCCTATACCAAAGATGCTAGCACCCCTTGTGGTTATGAATTTATCATCAGCTCTTGTCACACTTCTGACGAGAACCTGCTTCTGGCCATCGTGGGTTAAGGGGGCTAATGCTGTGTATGTTTCCTTCTAGGCTGGCAAACGGTCATCAGCCGTGGCAGTGAGAAGTCTGCCGACATTTTAGATTGCTTTTTGACTTTAAAAACCGAAGTTCCTATCATGACTGAAGAGCAAAAACAAGACTTGAACCCCTTGACCATAAAGATCAGGTGTGCCTCTTGCCTTCCGATCCAGCCTTTATCCATTCATGACCTGGAGGTAAGAATGAATGCCTGCTTTTCTCATTAAGAACACCTCCTTATCCCACTCAGGTGGCTACTGTGTGTCATCTAATCTTTCAGGTGCTCAATCCAAGAAACATCACCCACAGCTTACCATTTAGGATTCTGTAGAGAGACATAAAAAGATGAGGTTCCTGAGAGTTGGAACCACTCAACCTGAGACTTTTCACTGCTCCCTAAGTGTGCTACAAATGGAGATCACTGACCTGTTCAGAAATGTGTGGGCTTCCCTGTCACAGCAGCAGCACCCAGATATGTACTTGCTGTTGTAAACCCTCCAGGCTCAGTGCTGCTGTGTATCCAAGGAGTTCCCTCTTTCTTCTCTAGATCATGGTTTCTAGGACTGTTTTCCTCTTCTTCTATTTGCTCTTTGGTTTGGCTGAAACACATTCTTTAGTATGTATCCCACCACCACATTATTTCACGTTCAAAAATATCTTCATATTCCATATTCTCATACTTGGGAAACTGGCTTAGTGTCTTAGTTTGCTTTCTAATGCCATGATAAAACACTGAGTAAATCAATTTGTGGAGGGAAGGGTTCATTATATCTTAAAAGTTAGAGTCCATCATTAAGGGAAACCTGGGAAGGAGCTCAAACAGGAATCTGGAGGCAGGAACTGAAGCAGAGGCCACAGAGGAACACTGCTTACTGACTTGCTCTCCATGGCTTGCTCAGCCTGATATCTTTATTTATTTTTTCTTTTCTTTTATTATGTTTTGAGACAGGGTCTCTCTGTGTAGCTCTGACTGTCCTGGAACTCTATGTAGACCAGGATGTCTCAGCCTGCTTTCTTGTATAACATAGGACCACCCACAGTAGGCGTAGGTTGGGTCCTCCCACATCAATCATTAATCAAGAAAATGCCCTACAGTCTTGCTTACAGGCCAATCTGATAGAGGAATGTCCTCAAATGATATTCCAGCTCCCCTGATGACTCCAGTTTGTGACAAATTGATAAAACCCAAAAGAAACCAAACCAAACTAATCAAAGTAGAAGCAACTAGCCAACACAGTTGGGTTTAGACTCATTGGTTAAAAATCAATGCTTCAGCGTTTTGAAGGCATTTCCTCAAAGACTGTAGGATCTTTTTTTTTTTTCTGCCTTTTGAAGCTATGACGTGTGGTGATTTGAATGAATGTCTCCCACAGTCTCAGGAAGTTGAATGCTTGGTTCTCAGCTGGTGGGTCTACTCAAGGAGGTTTAGGAGATGTGGAGGAAGCTTGTTGGAAGAAATACATCACGGGAGTGGGCTTCGAGAGTCCAAAGACTCCATGCCATTCCCCGTTCACCCTTTTTGCTTCCTGTTTGTGGTTTCAATGTGAGTTCCCAGTGTGCTGCTTCAACCACCAGGCCTGCCTGATGTCAAGCTTCCCTGTCATGACAATGCTGGGCCCCTGTCCTGCCCTCTGGAATTGTAATCGCCAATCATCCTTTCTAGAAGTTGCCTTACTCACAATAAGCATCATGAGTTTGTCACAGCAATGGAAAATTAACTAACACATGATGTATCTTAGTGTGAGTATATTCACATAGATACATTGTATTTTTCTAAAAGATAAATTCACATACATTATACATTTCTTCTGAAATGTAAGTATATAAGAAGTTACCGGATTAAGTTTAAAAAATCCTTTTCCCGGAAGGATGGCCTTGAAACCACAGGTCTCTCTGTGCTGGCTGACATGGCTAACCCTTGCTGGTACTGCTTTGTACTCTCCACTGAGTTCCCAGAAAAGGCAGGCTCATCCTTCGTCTTTCGTTTGCGTTTGCTAGAATGTCTTACAAGCGGAAGCTACACTAGCCGTCTTTTAAAGCATGGTCGCTAGAAACAAAGGATCTGAGTTTTCTTCTCAGTGAACAAGTATCCGTTTCACTTCATCCCTGGCACGCATCTTCACTGGTTTGGTATTCTAAATTGATGAGGTCTTCTTTTAGCATTGTACCTCTCTTCTTGCCTCTGTGACTGCTCTTCTCCTGGTGTGACAGGTCATCATTTCCTGGTTGCTTTTAAGATTTTCTTGCCCACCCCCACCCCCACCCCTGCTTTTTTGAAAATAGAACCAAACAGAACAGTTCAGTGAGGACGTGTCTGGATGTGAGCTTTTGGGGTTAAGCCTGATTGGATGGACTGAGTGTCTTGAGCCTTGAGATTACGTCTTTTCCAAAGTGAAGCAATTTCCAAGTATTACTCCTTTTGATTGCTTTTGTATGTCCTTTCTGCTCTCTTTTCCTGGGACTCTGATGGTACAAATAGTACATTACTGTAATTGTCTCACAGAATTCTTTCCTTTTCCTTGTTAGTCTTTCATAGTTCTATGCTCTCTCTTTAAGTTCACCTCTTTTTCCTTTGTTGTCTCCATTTTGTTTTCAGGACTATCCAGTGAGATTTTAATCTCTTGTTTGGTGTCTGCTGGTTCTTCGTTGTCCTTTCTGCCAAGACTTGTGACCTTGGCAGACACTCTGAATAGAGTCCGCTGTTACTTCTTGTAATATGGCCACAATAGCACACTTTAAACCCTCACATTTCCAACCTCTGAGTCATCTTAGAGTTGGTATCTGCTGATATTCTCTTTCCTGGCTTTTTGTGTGTCATGTAATTCTGGATCGTGTCGTAGACATTTTGGAATGCCATATTATAAGATACTGTGTCTTGTCTGAGTCCTTGGAGAATACTTTTCATTGTTTTATTATAAAATGTTTTTGGCTAGGGTCAAGCTGAAAATTCCAATTTACCTGCACACAGGTGGAGTGTGACCTGCTGTCTCTGCTCTCTTGGAGAGGCTGTGCACACAGGTGGAGTGTAACTTGTTGTTCCCCTGCTCTCTTGGAGAGGCTGTGCACACAGGTGGAGTGTAATGTGTTGTTCCCCTGCTTTCTTGTAGAAGCTGTGCACCCCTGTGTACTGCAGATACCAGTTCCACAATACTCCAGTTCATGAGACCAAGAGGGAGCCCCATGGGACTCATGTATTTTTCCAGGATATCAATGTCATCTTCCTTGGGGCCATGCACCCCAGTGACCTGAGGGAATACCTGGAAGGGCCCCCTATGGTGGTTGAAGTCCATGACAGGGACCAAAAGTCAGAGGAGTACTCCCGGAAACCTGCCCTGTTTGGAGAGGACCCTGTGGATTCGTACTTCAATCTCCAAGCTTTCATCTCTCCCAAAGACACAGAGAATAACCCTTTTGAGTCCCAGAATAAGACATGGGACCCTTATGGGGTTGCCCGGGTCAGCTTTGCTGACCTCCTCCTTGGTCATAAGTTCTTGAACGTGGTTGTCCCCATCCATAACTGTGAGCCAAAGTCTGCCAGCCGGAACCAGGATAGGAGGAAGAAAAAGTCTGTAGGATTCCGGGCCCCCACAGATGTCCTCCAGCACAGCTCAATACCCACGGGCAACTACCTGGAGGCCAACTCTCTACTCAAGCTCCGAGTGGACATCGCAGTGCCCCTGAGTGCTTGGTTCACAGCTCCTGAGTTTGACCTCATGGGTAACCAGTTCGGCCGCATCATTTTTGTGTTCAACACCAAGAAGCTGGTCCTCCTACAGGACCTGCTGCAGGACATCACCATGATCAATGCCAAAGCCCTGGACCTGGACAGTTATCCTGCCCAGGACATCCAGCAGATCCTGTCGGCCTTCAGGGTGCGTGTGAGGATCCAAAAGCAACAGAACCTAGATGTGCTCACTGGCTTCCATCTGCTGGATGGAAAGATCCATCTTTTTATTCTAGAAGGCTTGGCAGAACACGGCTTGAGGCGGCTGTGGGACAGTTACCAGAGCAGGTAGGCAGACTCTGTCACCTTCAAAGTAAAGCCATGGCATTCTGGATACAGGGCAAATGGAGTAGGTGTTTCAAAGTCAAGGTCAAATTCAATGTCCTCTAGATACTGACAACAGGCAGACCTAGCTGTCTTAGTGGAAAGGGGAAATTCAGGATTGGGCTAGTAAGGAAATTTAGGGCTGGCTCAGTAGATATAGGTATTTTCTGTGTAATCCTAGTGCCCTGAGTTAAACACAGAACTCACATGCAGGCGAAAGGAAAGAACTAACTCTATGAAGTTGTTCTCTGACCTCCATGCCATGCCATGGTGCACACACAATAATACATAAACTTTTTTTCTTTTTCTTTTTCAAGACAGGGTTTCTTTGTGTAACAGCCCTAGCTGTCCTGGAACTCACTCTGTAGACCAGGCTGGCCTCAGATTCACAGAGATCTGCCTGCCTCTGCCTCCCAAGTGCTGGGATTAAAGGTGTGGCAATGCGTAAACATTTTTAAATGAAACAAAAATTGGGGTGATTTAGAACATGGCACTTGGAGAGGGTTCCTTGTGTGCTGGGTTTTACTTGTTTGAGGAATAGGATTCTCAATTCCTATTGAGGGCAGATTTCATGACCCCAGACCTCATGTACTAACATCAAGAGGCCAGAAGTTGTTTCTGTCTACCCAAGAGGGGACCTTACCACTGTGGGGCTTGTCCTGATGTGCTGACAAGCTGAGAGACACCAGAGAAACACATGGCTTCTCTGCTTCTCTTTAGATGTATACCTAAGACAACCAAAAACTTATATCCACACCAAAGTCTGTAAATGAATGTATAGTATATAATAGTCAAAAAGTAGAAATCAAATGTCTTTCAACTGATCATCAAAATGTGGACTGTAGTATGATCTGCAGTAAGACATGTAATGTAAAACAGAGTAAGACTCTATTTCAAAAAGGAAAAAAAAAGCAGATAAGCACAAACAGGTATCTATAGTAGAAAAAATAGTAGAAAAGGATATTTTTCAATAAATGGTGTTTGGACAATTTTTTTTCTCCATAGGAAAAGGAAAGTAAGTTCCTTTCAAGCCACTCATAAAAACAAACTCAGCTATTTAAAAAGAAAATCTAAGCTGGTCAGTGGTGGTGCATGCCTTTAATTCCAGCACTTGGGAGGCAGAGGCAGGTGCATCTCTGTGAGTTTGAGGCCAGCCTGGTCTACAGATCAAGTTCCAGAACAGCCATGGCTACACAGAGAGACTCTGTCTTGAAAAGCAAAAACAAAAACAAGCAAGAAAAAAACTATATAGTTTTTTTAAAAAAATGACTTAATATTTTGATTAAATTTATTTTATTTCATTTTATGTGTATGAGTGTTTTACCTGCATGCATGTCTGTGCACCCTGTGTGTGCAGTGCCCATGGAAGACAGAAGAGGGTGCTGGATCCCTTAGAACTGGAGTTCCAGGTGGTTAAGAGTCACCGTGTGGATGCTGAGACCCAAACTCAGGTCCTCTGCAAGATCAATAAGCACTCTTAACCACTGAGTCAGCTCTCTGGCCCCTCTATGTAGGTTTTAAACTTTTCATTTTGAGGTAATTATATATTAACAAGACACTAAAAAATATGACCAAGAGGCCCTCTGTAACCCTTACAAACTTCGCTCTGATAGGAAAGCTAACACAGGTTTCTGACAGTGCCGTGTGAGCATGCTGCACATGAAGTCTGTCACATATGAGTTATGCAACCCCTATAATCAAGGCACAGAATTATTTGCCACCTCAGAGAATTTCCTCCTGTTGCTATAGTAATCAAGTGTACCCTCTATAACTGTCCTTAATTCCCAGCAACCATGAATTTGTTCATCCTATACTTTTGTTATTTTGAAAATTCTACACTAAATTTCAGGTGCCAAATATTCTTTGATCACTTACAGAAGCACAACTGATTTGCATAAGCTCATAAATCAACTTATTGAATGAAAGAGTTGTTCATCTTTATTCTGGTACATTCTGTGGTATTTTCTGCATAGGCTATCATGTTAAGAGGGGTGACTTCTCCCCCTTTTCAGTCTGTATGCTTTTGTTTCCAGGTGCTGGATGGGATCTGTAGTTCTCTTTTTCTGTGATTGATTAAGCACAGCTAGCTAGACTATAATGATCTGATCTTTAAAAAAAGAATTTTTTTTTGAGAGAAAAAGTTTCCCTTTGAACCTGGGCTGTCCTGAAACTCAGTAGCTTAGGCTGTTTTCAAGTCTGCACTTTCTGAGTTCTGGGGTTGCAGATGTGAACCACCACGCTCATATTTTTGTTAAATCAATTTTTGAAAATTTAAATGACAATTAAGAAAACACACTCATGACATCAGACTAGAGAAAAATTTCTTCAATAAGGTACAAAGAATAGAGAGAATGATACTTTTTTTGCTACACTAAAAGGAGTAATTTTTGTTCAACAAAACATTATAAATTTTTGAAAATAAAAGCAACAAACTGAAAATATTTACAGTGTATGGAACAAAGTTGCAATCCTGACTGCATAAAGAAGTCCCATGTTGAGCATAGTGTGCATGTGGCCTGTGGTCCCAGCACTCAGGAAGGGGATACAGGAAAGGATCATGATGAAGCCATGCTGGGCTGCCAAGAGAAACTGTAAACAGAAGTCCTATGAATCAGTATGACAGCAATAAAAACATCTATGTGGAAAGCTTGGCAAATGACCCAAACACTTCACAAAGGAGGAACTATAGTGACCAAGGAGAGGTTCCTGGGGGAACAGGAGGTTGGGCACAGATCACACCAGGTTTTAAGGAGTAGGAGCAGCACCCAGGGCACTCACAGGGTGGTCTGTATTTAGGAACTCTGCCAGGTTGCTACGGCTGGAGTACCAAGATCAGGGAGAAGACACAGGAGCAGGAATGTGGGCAGCCAGCCTCAGCCACCACCGCTCTCACAGTCCCAGGCTGGGTCTACCAAGTGTGTTTACTACCATTACATTCTATTCGTTGCTTTTAAACAAATAAGAATAAGAGAAAACACCTGCTAGTCAGAGCAAAGGCATCAAGTGTTCCCAGGACCCATGGGCAATGCTGATCCTCCTTCTTTCTAGGGTTACTACCTCTAATCAAGTACCATGCAAGGTGCTCTATGACTCCAGGTTGCTCTTCCGCAATCGCCTGTATGCTGACCTGGAGACCATTCTGTACCATGTACATTTGTTCAGGCCTGTGTCGCTGCTCCTGCGGTACCCAGCGCTCTATGTTCGTGGGGCTGTGCCACGCATGGCTTTTCAGGCACTGGTCAGGTGAGTGTGGATGGGACAGGAGGGGCATCCCACTATCTGGAGGCCAGGTGGGCCATAGGGACAGCAGACAAGAATGCCCTGAATTTTCCAGGCTCCAGGAGAAACAGATGCAGATTCTCTTGAGATATAGCAAAGCATGTTAGCGGGAAGAGGAGTTACCACTAGACTGAGCAACTCTGCTCTGTCTGCTCCCCTGGGAACATTCTGGAAGAATCTGAGGAGGGAGCAGCTGGTCAAAACATAATTTCCAGTGAGAACTGGGGATATGGACTGCAACATCGGCTGGAGCCTTTCCTTTGACCCAGCACTTCCCTTTGCTTCTGCCCTGAGCCCCGTCCCACACTCCCTCTCTATTGCTGAGAAAGCCTGTTGCCAAAGAGCCAGCTCTCGCGTTAAATGTCCCCTTTGCTACGCCCTCCCTGCCTGTCAGCTTTGCTTTTGTTCCAGGTGTCCTGAGGGTTTCACCATCCCTCTGCAGACCAACTTTGACTGACAGGTGCTGGAACCTGGTGAGATCCCAGTTCAAAAGGAACTGGGCATGTGGAACAAGTGATGCAGGGGTGCTGGCTGGGTAGGCAGTCCAGCGATGCAGGGGTGCTGGGTGGGCAGTCCAGCGATGCAGGGGTGCTGGGCAGGCAGTCCTTGTGCATCCCTTGGGGCCCAGCAGAGCAGCAGAGCATCAGGGGAGGTAGTACAGAGTGACCTTGAAGAGCCGCTGGCCTTTACCCTGACAGCCTCTCCTAAGCATGGGAGATCTGACCTCAGCTAGTGCTGCTGAATCAGTGAAGCAGAAGAAGGGGAATACGGGGTTCAGGGAGCACAAGTTCAGGAGGAAGAGCAATGAAACTAGAATTCAGGGCAGAGAAGGCTTTTACTTTCTTCCTACAGTCAGGGAAGGGTCTGTGATGCTCTAGTATTTGGGTGTTAGCTGCAAAGCCTAGACTGTCCATTTTGGTAAGTGATGCAATATAATTGGGGACTATATTGGAGGGAACCACTGTTCACAAAATACTTTCTGTATTAGATGGCTTGTGATGGTTAATTTTTTTGAGACATGGTCTCTCTGTGTGGTCCTTGCTGTCATCCTGGAACTCACTTTGTAGAACAGGCTGGCCTTGAACTCATAGAGATCCGCTTGTCTCCGCCTTGCAAGTGCTGGATTAAAGGTGTTTACCATATGATGGTTGATGTTAATTATCAACTTGATGGACTTTAGAATCACTGTGGAAACACACCTCTGGGTGTGTCTATTAAGGTGTTTCCAGATAGGTTAACTGATTATGGGAGACACATCCTGAATGTGGACTGTACCACCTCATGGGCTGGGGGCTCAGACTGGATAGAGAGGAGAAACGTACCAACATTTCTTACTCTCTGCTTCCTGACTGTGGGCATGATGTGGCCAGTTTCCTCACCATGGTGGACTGTATCCCTGCAAAGTGTAAGCCAAACGAACAGTTCCTCCCTTAAGTCTTGCCAGGAGCTGATCACAGCAATGAGGAAAGTAACTAACACAGAAAATCCATACTAAGAAGTGAGTTGCTGTGATAAACACGAACCCGTGGTTCACATGTCCTTGTAACTGGTTCAAGAGAAGAACGTGGAAGGGCTTGGAGCTGGGGGCCAGAGAACCATAGAATGCCAAAAGCAGATTAATGAGCCAGTCTGGTAGGAATTTGGAAGTCCAGAAAGCTGAGAGAAATGTCGATGCTCGAGGCCTGGCTGGTAAGGTTCCAGACAGAAACGAGCACTCTAATGTCCTAGAGGTCATTCATATTATACTTAGGCAAAGAATCTGGCTGTATTCTGGTAAGATTGAATAGAAAAAAGGGATGGGCTACTTTGTTTGACAACCCAGGATAGGATAGCATCCAGGCTGTGCGGTAGTTACTGCTTTCTGTTCTGATTTGGGTCAACACTGAGAGAGAGCAACAAGTCAAGCAGAAAGATAAAAATGTGCTGTTTGGGCTGGGAAGGAAGTGGCAGGCAGGGTGGCTGAGAAAGCATCTGTAACTGTTAAAGGTTAGCTCCATTACAGAGAAACCCTGTGCTCAATAGGAAAGGCACCAAAGGGCTGGACTCAACCTGCAGAAGGTCCGTCTTATGGAAATGTAAAGCCGTTCGAAAGAAGGCCTAATCTGAGAATACCACTGAAGGGCTATTCGGGATAGTGTTGCCCACCAGAGGCAGCAAATAGAGGCCGATGCCATTGTGGTCCAAGTGGTCCAGGCTGGCTACATCTTGAACTGACAGTAGAACTTGGCAGCATTGTCCACATGGTACTGGATTGGCAGGCACTAAAGATGCAAGAGTAATGGAGTCATGGAGGCTTGTGCTAAGATTGGTGAAGGCCAGCAAGGCCAGACAATAGTGGCAGGGTTGGAGTTCCTGCAGGGGGATCCTAAAAGGCCACTGCATGAAGCTGTGATAGTAAGGGCTGAGTTTCAGTGGAGATCTTGGGATGTTGGAGATGTCAAGACCACAGGATATCAGCTAAGGAGAGCTATCAGTGCACAGTGGAGTCTGTCCAAGAATTCTAATGTGCTGGAATGCTGCTGGAGGCCAAGCTGGAGGACTGGAGCTCTGATGGAATCTGTCCATGAACTCTAATGTGCTGCTGGAGGCCGAGCTGGAGGGCTTGGAGCTCAGATAATTCTGTCCTAAGTTTCAGATGCTAGAAATGGAGCCTCAGGATTTGATGTTTGTCCTACTGGGTTTGGACTTGCTTTGGTCTGGTCCCATCCTTTTGGGATGGGAATGTTATTCTGGGTCATTGTATATTTGACTCATGTGACTTGTTTTCTTTATTTTTAATGAGCTCACAGTTAAGAGATTGCCTCATGTCTCAGAAAAGGCTTTGGATTTTGGACTTTTGAATAATTCTAGGACTGTTAAACACTATGGAGACTTTCAGAGGTGAACTAGATGCATTTTAGATTATGAGATAAAAAATAAGACTTTAGGATCAAGGAGTAGAATGTTATAATTTCTAAGTGATGTGTTTAGCGGTCAAGTTTACAAGGTTAGACTTGTGACAGTTACTTTTGATTGTCAGTGTAGCGGTGTAGCTGAAGTTTTCCTGTGTCCCGCCCAGTCTGCAACTGCTCAGACCTAAGTAAACACACAGAGGCTTATATTCATTAAAACTGCTTGGCCATTAGCTCAGGCTTACTACTGACTAGCTCTTACACTTAAACTCAGCCCATTTCTGTTCATCTATATGTTGCCACGTGTTCCATGTCTTTACCTGTGCACCATTACATGCTGCTCCCTGGATGGCAGGAGGGAGTCTCCTCCTTTTGAATTTCCTGCCTGCCTCTAAGCTGCCTTGCCATAGGCCAAACAGCTTTATTTATCAACCAGTCAGAGCAACACATATTCACAGTGTACAGAAAGACATTCCTCCATCATAGTGGTGTTTAGAATCCTCAGGGAAACATCTTTCAGTGTGTTCATGATAGTCTTTCCAAAAATGATTAACTGAGCAAGGAAGGCTTGCCCTGAATGTGAGTGGTACCACCCCATGGGCTGGGGTTGTGGACTGGATAAAAATGAGAGAGAGAGAGAAGGCTTATGCCAACGTTCATTTCCTTCTGTGTCCTGCCTGTGAATGCAGCGTGACCAGCTACCTTACACTCCTACTATCCATGCCTTCTCAGCTATAAGGGACTATATCCCCTCAAACTGAAAGCCAAACCGAATCCTCTGCTTTTAAGTTGCTTCTTATTAAGCATTTGACAACAGCAACAAGAAAAGTGATGAATGCGGTGCTGCAACCACAGTGACTGTGTCTCTGCTCTGTTTCTGATGGTTGAGGAAGCAGAGATCCAGAAAGGCTAAGTAAGAGACGGGTCCACAGATTCAGGCACAGACCTCCTTTCAGACTTGGGAAACAGTGGGGGCATGGAGTAGCACACAGAAGTTCCCAGACAGTGTCAGTGTGGATCCTAGGTCCACTGCAGGGCAACATAGGTGTGGCCCACTATGGTGGTATTATGTTCCCCAAAATATTGTGCACCCTAATAAACTTATCTGGGGTCAGAGACAGAACAACCACAATATTAAACATAGAGGATAGGCAGCGATAGCACAGGCCTTTACTCCTAGCATTCCAGAGGCAGAAATCCATCTGTTCAAGGATACAGCCAAGCATGGTGACTCACGCCTTTAATCCCAGAAAGCGAGCCTTTAATCCCAGGGAGTGGTGGTAGAAAGCAGAAAGGTATATAAGGCGTGAGGGCCAGAAACTAGAAGCATTTGGCTGGTTAAGCTTTTAAGGTTTTGAGCAGCACAGTTCAGCTGAGAGCCATTCGGATATGAGGACACAGAGGCTTCCAGTCTGGGGAAACAAGATCAGCTGAGAAGTTGGCCAGGTGAGGTTAGCTGTGGCTTGTTCTGTCTCTCTGATCTTCCAGCGTTCACCCCAATAACTGGCCTCAGGTTTGATTTTATTAATAAGAAATTTTAAGATTCCTGCTACAGCCCACTGCTACCAACAGGAAGTCCTGGGCCTGGAGAGGTAGTACTGCTACTCAGGTCTCAGCTCTGTGCAGGAGTGAGCTGTGATGGCATCTTCCTCTCTGGTGCAGGAGGACCCTGAGATCCACCTGCCGAGGGCTAACTAGCACGTTGGGGTGGCTCCCTAGTGGGGTGTGGGACTGATGAAGACCATGGATAAAGCCACAGTCACAGAAAAACACTCAGTGCATACAGTGGGCAGCCCCTAAATTTAGTAGGCTTGGAGGAAAGGAGAAAGGTGCACACGTCAGGAGACCAACTTAGCTAATTAAACCAGCTCTGACCCGCACCGCTGGCCAACCCAAACTTCCATGTCTGCTGTGAAATGTGGATGATTATGCAGGTGAGGCTGAATGGCTGGCTGTTCTTCATTTCAGGATCCATGACATCTGCCACAACAGCACCAGACTCAAGGAAGTGATTATGAGAGGCCTGCTGCCTTCCTCCTCCATGGTTAAAGACCTGAGCCAAGAGTTTGGGATACCCGTTTCCCAGGAAGAACTCACAGAAGGAAAGCCATTGGCCGCATTACCCCAGCCCACTCCCAATGAAGAGAATGTCCAACGTCAGGCTTCTACCCTCCCAGGGGACATCCAGACCCACCAGGAGAAGTATCTGCAGTGGCGGAACAACATGCTGCTGAAGAACCAAGGCTATAGGGATAGCCTTGTTCAGGTGAACCTTCTTTCTCCCCTCAATGCTGAGGCTCCCAGATTCCCTGGGGCTTCTGGTACCCAGTAAGAGATACAGGTCAGATGCCTCTGGCCTATGCTTGCTCTTCTGGTTCAAGACACTGGGGGGACAGGCCAGCAGTATGAGAGGCAGGGCTGAATTATGCCAGAGCATTTGGTTCAGTCCCACTCACCTTGGCTGTTCTTAAACATGAGAAGGAGTGAGCTTAGGCACAGAGCACTTCCCACAGTCCTAGTGTTGGTTTTAGGAGAACTGTTACAGGTGTAACATCTCGCTTAAAAGGCATGGGTATCATAAGTTGTCTAAGCAGCATAGAAAGTAAGCTGGCATGTAGGGGAAAACATGGAGAGGAGACAGTACAAGATGGAGAAGCTGGTGAGGTGGTGGAAGATCAGTGGCCTAGATGGCCAAGGGCGGTGCCTCACTCCAAGCCAGCCCCAGAGTCTTGGAAATACAAACACGTAAAGTGTGATTTGCATCTGTCTGCTCATGATCTCTTGGTGAAGCCCTCCCCACCCCCTGCCTCCATGCTCCACTTCTGGCCCCCAAGTTCCCCTCTTCTGTGCTGTATTGGTACTCATCGTACTCACTGGTGGTCATTTGTATCATTTCTTATCTTCTGCAGCTTAAAGGTATTATAACTCTATGCCAATACATGATCTGCTAAGTTTATGCCATTGCTTTCTAGGATATAATACTTAGGATTAGAATTGCTGAGTGCTAGTTCTATTGCCTACATCATATATTATTTTCCCAAATGATTATGTCAATATAGGCATCCTTATCTTGTACATTTTGTACATTCATGCTATGTGCTACAAGTTGGACTTTGGGATGTTTAATTTCTGATGTTTAGCGGTTTTTCAAAGAGGTTTTAATTTGCACTATTTATTGATGAAGCCTAATATTTCTTCATACATTTCTTGATTATTTTGCCCGTATTTAAGCAACATTTTGTTTTGAAATCCTTAGAAACAACCCAGTAGCATTAATTTTTTTCTAGGGGGTGGGGTTCAAGACAGGATTTCTCAGTGTAACCTTGGATGTCCTGTAACTTACTCTGTAGACCAGGCTGGCCTTAAACTCACAGAGATCTGACTGCCTCTGCCTTCTGAGTGATGGGATTAAAGGCATGTGCCACCACTGCCTAGCTAGTAGCATTACTTTTTAAAATTTGAACTTAATATTTTTTGAGACAGGGTTAACTATGTAGCCCTGGCTAGCCTAGAGCTCACTATGTAGACCAGGCTGGCTTCTAACTCATAAAAAGTCACCTGCCTCTGCCTCCCAAGTGCTGGAATTAGAGGCCTGTACTACCACATTTGGCTCTTTTTCTTCCTTTCAATGGCATCTTTAGCAGAAGTTACTTTAAATTTAGTATTTTTTCATATTGTTTTTGCTTTATTTCAGAAATCTTTCCCTACTCCAAGATCATAATCTATTTTTTCCTTTGAGATGTTTGTTTATTTATTTTGAAGTTGGGGTGTCCTAGGGTCTTGTACATGATAGGCAAGTGCTCTACCATTGAACTGCATCCACAATCCTGATTCAAATACCATGTTTTAACTTAAATTGATCTAGAACTTATTTTCCTTTGAGACAGAGTCTTGCTATACAATCCTGACTGACTTGAAACTTACTGTTAAGTTCAGGCTGGTCTTGAACTTTTGGGCAATACTCCTGCCTCTGCCTATTGAATGTTGAGATTACAGGTTGAGCCACCACACTCACCTGGGGCTCATTACTCTATGAGGGTGGGATCTAAGTTCATTCCTGCGCCCCCCCTCCTGCCATGGATGATGAGTGTTCTTAGCCTATAGTTACCCCCAGTGATTTGTACTATCAAATCAGTCTGACCAAGTTGCCATTGGATCCAGTCTGTTTATGGTGGTTGGGATCATCATTGAAGTTGCATCTATACCATTATTAGTCTCTTCAAAAAAGCCAGCAATTTGATTTCTGGGGTTTCCATATTATATATTTCTTTGATTTCTGATTGTATTTTTATAATATTTGGGTTTAACTTCTTAAGTAGACGTTTAGAAGATTGATATATCATGAAATCATCTTTATGTAATTTGGACACCAAGCACTCTTCATGAGTTTTTTTTGCATCTATCTGTCTATCTATCTGTCTGTCTATCTATCTATCTATCTATCTATCTATCTATCTATCTATCTATCTATCTATTGTGCATATGTGCATGCGTGCATTTGTGTGTGTGTGTGTGTGTGTGTGTGTGTGTGTGTGTGTGTGTGTGCATGCCTGCATGGGAATGCACTTTGCATAGTACTTGTATCAAAGTCAGAGGACAGCTTTTTGAAGTTGATTTTCTCCTTCCACCTTGTGGGTTCCAGGGATTCAACTCAGAGCATTAGGCTTGGCAGTAAGTTACTTTATCCATTGAGCTATCTTGCCAGCTCTGCTTTACTGGTTTACAAAATGTATTGTTATTATTTTATTTATTTGTGTGTGTTTGTGAGAGAGAGAGAGAGAGAGACAGAGACAGAGACACAGAGGAGCGGGGGGAGAGAGAATGCCCTGTGTGGGTATGGGTGCTTGTGGAGGCAAGAAGAGGGCATCGGGTCTCTTGATGGTGGAGTTCCAGGAAGTTGGATACTAAAACCAGACTCAGGTGCTCTGGAAGAGCAGCAAGAGCTCATGATGGATGAGCCATCTCTCCAGCCCTGAACATAAGTTAGTTTTAGTTCACGTGTGTGTGTGTGTTTTGCCTACATGTGTGTTTGTGACCTGGTGCCTGAGGAGGCCAGAAGAGGGCACTGGATCCCCTGGAACTGGAGTACAGATAGTTGTGTGGGTACTGGGAATCAAAGCCAGGTCCTCTGGAGGAGCAACAAGTGCTCTTGACCTCTGAACCATCTCTCCAGCCTCTCAAAATAGTTTTGTAATTTCCATTTCTCCGTACATTCTGGCTATTGGGTTCTACCTGAATTTCATTGATATCAGTGAGTATATTTTGTGTCATTTCCACTGTTGAGACTTGCTTCCCCGCTCAGTCTCTTGGCTTTGGGACATGTTCCAGTGTTTATGAAAACATCGCGCATCCTTATCAACTGCTGTGCATGTATCTGATATGTCAGCTTGGTAATTTGTTCCCTAATCCTAGTGATTTTTTTCAAAAGCAGAGTCATAGTTTATTAAAATGGATTTTTAACACATATTTAGTAAGGGTATTAGTAAGCACCCAGAAAAGAGTGAGATATACCTAAATGTAGATAAAAGCATCTCAAGACAGAGTTACCTAATTATTTTTTTATGCTTATTTTTGGTTTTTCAAGACAGGTTTTCTCTGGGTGGCCTTGGCTGTCCTGGAACTCATTCTGTAGACCAGGCTGGCCTCGAACTCAGAGATCCACCTAACTCCGTCTCCTGACTGCTGGGATTAAAGGCGTGCACCATCATGCCTGGCATTATTGTTGTTTTTTTCAGTGCTAGAGACTGAATTCAGGGCAGCATACATGCTTGGCAATTGCTCTCCTGATAAGCCATGCTCCCAGTCAATCTTTGAAATCTGATTTTTCAGTTAGTTACTAAGAGAAGTCCTGACAAAAATCATTTATGATCATGAGATTATTTTTTGTTAGGTGTCTCTTTGGACTTAAATTTTTTTAGTATATATGAATTTAGGTCTATTTTTATCTTCTTGATTTGTTATTTATTGCACCAGTTGTTTAGAAGGTACCAGAGTAGAAACTGAGATCCATGCTGTCATTTCTAAGATTCACAGGGAATTGAGGTATGGGCAGCCAGCTCTGCTCCACTGTTATTGATATTATTTTATTTGTGTGTGTTTAATATTAAAAGGTACTAATTCCTTTGTCTCTAGATTTTGGGGGGATAATTTCCCTGGATTTTTGTGTTCTCACAACTGAATGCACCCTTTACCTGGATCTGATATTCTAGCCTGAGGGTTTTTTTTTTCTTTTTACGCCGGTTCTTTGAGACAGGGTTTCTCTGTGTAGCCCTGGCTGCCCTGGAACTCTCTCTGTAGACCAGGCTGGCCTCAAACTTAGAGATCTTCCTGCCTCTGCCTCCTCAGTGCTGGAATCTAAATGCACATGCCACCACCCCTGGCTAGACTGAAGTGTTTAAATATATTCTATTCACAGTACTTCTGTTGTAGAATGTGATGTCAGTATGACATGACTTCTTTTACAGGTAGCCCACTGTTTCCCTCTGAATGTTTAAAACATTTACTTTGACTTTTCCAAGGGAAACCATAAACATTTATTAACATGGATAAGGCACCAATGGCAGGTCAAAGAAACGATTCTATAAGTATAACGTGATGGACCAATGGGTTTGCTGGAGTTACTTACAGGGCATGGGTGATGCTGCGTTAATGAGAGATCACCCAAGCATGAGTGAGGACTCACAAAAAGTTGCCTTCCTGCAGCTCCCTGCACTGCTTTTCGGCTACTTGGCCAACCAGCTCTCTTAGGGCTTCTATTGCTGTGAAGAGACACCATGACCACAGCAACTCTTATAAGGAAAACATTCAAGTGGGACTGGCTTACAGTTTCAGAGGCTCAGTCCGTTATCCTCTTCGTGGGAAACATAGCAGTGTGCAGGCAGACATTGTGATGGAAAAGGAGCTGAGTGTTCCATATCTTGATCTGTATGCAGCAGGAAGTAAACTGAGACACATTTCCTCCAGCAAGACCACACCTATTCCAACAAGGCCACACCTCATAATGTGCCACTCCCTGAGTCTATGGGGGCCATTTCTATTCAAACCACAACACCAGCCTTTTCTCTTTACAATTATCACTGCTTACGTAGTTGGGGCCAGGTCTTTTGAATCTAGTAACTTTCTTGAGTCTCCTTCACTGGGGAATGCTTCAGTTCTGAGGAAGTGGCTGGAAGACGTCTTTGTTTTCTTTACTTTCACTAAGAATGGTGTGGGATCTCTATGGTCTTTCTGATGTTCATTATTTCCTCAAGATGTGTTACTTCTCCCCTCAGTTGGAAACCCTGCTATTTCAGTGTGGCTGCTTCTGTCTCCTCACTCTCTACTCCAATTTTTTCATGTATTTCTTATATTCAGAGATGCTTGCAGAAAGTGCATCACAAGCTGACTCCCCAGTACATCCATTTGGAAGCATTATTACTCCTGCAATGTATTTCAAGCACTCAATTTTTATTTCAAATATTTTTATACTCAGTGCTTTTCTTTATGTTTGCTTCTGTTTCATATATTTTGATATCTTTACTTGCTTCTTTTAAGATTTTTTTTTTGTATTGCCTCCCAATTTTCACCTCCAGATGTTCAGTGTGTGTCCTCTTCTCTTACCTCATGTGTTTCACAGGCTACTTTGACTGTGAGTCAGATTCCTTCTCAGGCCTCAGAGAATACCAGATACCCAGACCACCTGGTGACCACGACTTTCTTTCTTTCACCAAGTGGCTCTTTGGGCCAAAGCTTTGACTTTAATGTAATGGAAATAGTACAGGAGGATCTGCCTGCCAGGGCCGTGACCCTCCAGCTCAGGGCCGGAAAGAACAGGAAATTGAGGAACACAGAAATGGTTGCTTTCCGTGTGTGTGTGTGTGTGTGTGTGTGTGTGTGTGTGTGTGTGTGTGTGTGTGTGTGTGTGTGTGTGTGTGTAAAACAGTTGCAAACCTTCTGATAGCTTTGTGATCCTCCTCGGGATTCTAGCCAAGCCATCAGTTTATATTTAGGTAATCACCTGGACCTTAATTTTTTTTTTAAGCAGAAGATAGTTGTTTTTCCAAATTCGGTAGGCAAATAAAGGGCAAGGTGACAATGTGGACTGGTGCCTTTTCTTCATTGTCCCCTCTCAGGTCCCAACCATGTTATTTTCTGTTTTATCTTTTATTTCCATTGCTCAGCCAATCTCATCTGTTTCTTTCTGTCTCTTTTTCATTTTTTCTCTTGGAGTTTCTTGTGTGATATTTTGTTTGTGTTCTGACAAATAAAGCTTGCCTGGAGATCAGAAGGTGGAGGTAGGTCTGTACAGACAGGAGACAGGAAGTGATGAGGCTGGGCAGAGAGAGGAAGTGATAAAGGGGGCAGAGACAGGATCTTGGCCCTTTTTGGTCAGAGAATTTTTAGAGGTAAGAAGTCTCTAGTGGCTGCTGCCCTGCTTCTCTGATCTTTCTGCTTTTACCCTGATATCTGACTCCTGTTTTTATTGACAAGACTAATTAGGCTCATGCTTCAGTTCCTGGTGATTGAACTCAGGGCCTTGCACAGACTAGGCAATGACTCTACCACTGAGCTACATACCCAGACCTTTTTTTGTTTTTGTTTTAGATAGGCTCTCTTTTTGTAGCTGAGGCTGGTCTCAAACTCATGATCCTCCTGCCTTGGCCTTTCAAGTGCCGACTTCACAGGTGTGTACACCATGTTCAAGTTACTTTGCTTTTAATTCCCTAGGAAGCCCACAAATAAAGTCACCTTATTTCTTCAGCAGCCTTTCTGAGGAGGGAACAGTCCTCACTTCCTTACCATGCCTGCTAGAGGACCGCCTGGCCCCTGCCATACCTAATGTATCATAGCACTGAAAGTCAGCCACGGCTAATGATGTACATCCCTGCTGCCTGAGGACATAGTCCCCTATCCACACCATGAAAGTGTCTCACACTTCTGACCATTTGAACACATTTTTATTCTTTACTACTAGGTGGATGGAAGAATAGTAGCTCAGTATGTGATGTAGTTAGCATCCTTGGGAAGTCTCAAGATTTTACTCCTCTGAATTCCACTTTGGGTCCTGACATGTTGGATTAGATGGCCTTTTGTCATGGCTGTGTGATTATAAACTCCATTGGTACTCGAGAATTTTTAATCAGTTTCTGCACCATGGCTCTGTACCAGAGAACATCTACTGCACACAAGGAAGGACCTGGTATGGGTAACAGTTGCCATCTCTCTCTTCAGAAAAATATCACAGAAGCCTACCAGTTCACCAAAAAGCCTCCGAAATCAACGGTGAAGACAATTAGAATTGCCATTCCTGAGAACAAAGGCATCTACAACTACAGTATCCAGAGCCTGAATTCCACAGAGCTTGCTAAGAAGGAGATGTTTAAAGAGATGGCCAAAGTGAGTCACAAGGAAGCTGACTAACATGTCCTCTTGGTGACTGTTGTATTGCTGTGAAGAGATACTATGATCAAGGCAACTCTTATAAAACAAAGCATTTAATTGGGGGTGAGAGTTAGTCCATGATCATCATGGAGGGAAGAGATAGGCATGGTGTTGGAACAGTAACTGAGAGCTTTACATCCTGACCCCCAGGCAGTAACAGGCAGAGAGAAAGAGACATTCAGCCTGGTATGGGCTTTTGAAACCTCCAAGTCCACCTCCCAGTGGCACACCTCCTCCAACAAGGCCACACCTCCTAATTCTTCTCAAATAGTTCCACTCCCTGATGACTAAGCATTCAAATATATGAGCCTATGGGGGCCACTCAAACCACCATACATATGAGCTTTTCTTTCTCTGACCAAAGGTAATCAGGGGCCTTGGGTGACATCAATCATCTAGGAACAGAGGACAAAGGATCAGGTGATGGGAGAAGAGTGTGAGTTCACTATGCTCTAGAGAGCCAGAGGTGCTCAGCACATGTTCAGATACATATGATTGAAAACAGTGCAGAAGCTGTTCTTCTGTGTTTCTATGGAGATAACTGTTAGCCATAAGAAAATCCTTGGTTTAGGCTTTTAGCACTCATTACACGTAGAAAATGGATTTCTCTGTCCAAGGACAGAGACAATGATGTGACCCTCATAGGGCTGCCTTAGAGTTTAGTTAATGTGAGTGCATTATAGTGTCAAGACCCTGTGTCATTATGTCCCCAGATGTTTCTGATACCTGCTTGGAAGCTTGATGGCTACCCAGCCTTATCCAATACTGCTCTTAGCAGACGTTTGTCTCCTCACTTCTAGGAGCCAATGAAGCGATTCACATATTCACAGAACTACCTCTCAGCTATGGTGGATCCTCAGGACCCAAAGGAAGAAGAGAAGAAAGCCCAGAAGAAGTCCCGCCAAGCCTGGCTCACAACTGGTGGGTTCCAAGTGTGGGGTCTTCAGAGCGCCACTGGAAGCTGCCAGCAGGATCTGAGACTTTCATCAATCAAAGAGACAAATGAGGTCTTCATGGAGAAGCAGGGCCTCATGTGGGGAGAGGTGGGGTTCTTAGGGATGGCTTCCCACCCCACTCACGGGCTCCCCTTATTATTTAGGAATGGCAGGAAAGTGCACTGTTTGCTAACGTGTTGAAGCCTGTGTTGGATCGGGATAGGTGGAGCTGGAGCCAGCGACACCAGGACTTTGATCTGTATAAGAAGCCACCACTTTACCTTCAGGTGGCCCCTCTTTCAGCTCCAAAGCCTGCAGCTGGTAAGATAGAACCTCTCTGAGTCGAACCTCCTGGTACTGCTGGCAGAGGGAGCTCTGGCCCTCTTGGCATTTTTAGCACCCTCTGCTGGTTTTGCATTCAGAGTCATACTTTCTGGATTAGGAAAGCAGGGTTCAGGATGGGTCTGGTAGAAAGAGTTAGATGTAGGGCTGGAACTCAGGATACCTGGGCTCTGGCTCTGTGGGTGGGTGCTGGCTGCATGCTTTTGGACAAGTCTCTTTGCTCTGGGCCTGGTTTCTTGGCTATAAAATGGGTGATTGGAAGGTAATTAGGGGCTTTTGGAGCTTCAATACTGTTACCTAGGACTGGCCTCTGGACCACTGGCAGTCTCAGGGCAGAGACCTGGGACCTCATAGGGAACTTCTAACTCCGTTTTAGCTGTAGACGCTGCTCGAATTACCTGGGGGAGGTGAGTAGTATCAGAGGCATAGGTCTTGCTTAACCAGTCTCCCCAAGTCCTCTTTTCTTTCCCTTCACAATCTGTTTATGAAGATTAACGTGTGTTTGTTGGTTAAAAGAAGCAGAAACTTTGTTTAGGAAGAGCACACAAACTATTTATCTAGCAGTGAGGTTTGGCAGAAAAAAAATTCACAGAAAGCTAGATTCAGTAAACAAAAGTTTCTTGGCCCCTGTCCTGAGGGCAGCTGGCTGCATGGGAGCAGTCCCACAAAACAGGAAGTGCTGACAACTTGGCCGACTGCTGCTTTCTCCACAAGTGGAGATGCTGCTCCTGCACGCCCAGGCAAGCCCTTGTCCTTCTGAGACTAGAGAGAACCTGTGTGTGGTTGCCTCAGGTTCAGAGTCAGTGGTGCTGTAGACAAGGCTCCAGGGGAGTGAGCTATGCAGCCCAGAATGTGAGGCTCACCCCTGGACTCCACTGCTGGCCTGTCCAGATGAACTTCCGTGGCCTGTTTGCCTTCTAAGACAAGAGGTTCAGGTTAGGGCTTATGCACTCCCATCAAGCTCAAGAAAAACTTGAATCTACAGAGGAGGACCATAGTAGTGGCTAGGCCTCTGAAATCCAGATGGATGAGTAGACAGCCTGGTGCAATAGCCCATACAAGCCCACATATCCCACAGGGGTCTCTTCCCAAGCTTCCCTCATGGAGAGTATTTTTCCAGGTAGCTTCTTATCCCTGGTACTATAAAGGTATGTACTTTCCACATGTACAAAGTTCCCCCTTCATTAATTTCTAGCCAACTAACTGATCGTTGGGAAGTTATTTTCCAAGTCACAGCCCTGGCAGGATGCTCAGGCCAGCCGAACTCTCACAGTGCCAACCTCCGATACGTCTGTTTCAAGATTCCAAGCTAAGTAGAGAAATAGAGTCTCATCTCCTTTACTCCCTAGAGCCCTGAAACCAGGCAGAAGCTTGAAATCTGGCAGACAAAGTATGCCAGGACCCTGAGTGACCTGCATAGTAGTAGAGAAGAGCCTGAAGAAGATCCTGCCAGTGACACCTAGATACATCTTGTCTTCTGCAACCAGGGAGGCCAATCCTTGAGGAGAAATGAAAAGCCTTATGTGAGAATAGGTACACATGGCCACAGTCCAAGGTGGCACCATTTTCCCACGACTGGGAAGCACCACAGACGAGAGCTGCTGTTGTGAGCATCGGGGCTGTAGGGAGGGTACCACCCCTTGACTCTAGGACCTCATCTCACATAGTGAGAACAAAGGGGCCTAGAAGCGATCAACAGAGGGGTTCTCAGGGTCATGTATGAAAAGCTGGTTCAGAGGAGTTACAGGTCTAGAACATAAAGTCTAAAGGGACACAAAGTTCGATCTTTTATATTCTTTTGTTGATTAGTGGTTCTGACATATGTTGTAAGTGCATTTATTTTTTTTTTATTTCAATGAGTATTATGGACACAGCTTCACAGTTATTTCTGATTTTTGTAATCTAGTAGAAATGGCTGCCCCCACCTCAATTCCCTGTGAGCCTTAGAAATGACAGCAGGATAGTTGTAGACAGTCTACTGACCTGCTCCAAGTTTTCCATTTTATCTTTTTTTAGTCAGGGTTTCAAGTAGCCTAGACTGGACTTGAACTTGCTATACAGCTGAGGCTGACTTTGTACACCTGCTCCTCATGCCTCTACATCTCAAGTGCTGGGATTATAGACATTGGCCAGTGCCTGGCTGAGTTCTCTGTTTTGTGAAGAGGCCAATGCTGCCATGCCCCGGAACAGGGTACGGGGACACCATCCTTCCTCACGTTCTCCTGTCTAAAGGACTGTCTAGGACACTTTTTTTTCTGCAAGGAAAGAAGCAGGGGTGATCTTTCTGTACTGTAATCATACACATGGACTGAAGGAGGGTGTTTTCAACAGTCTCCGGACTCTCATCCCAGGAAGCTGCCTCCAAGTGAACTCTCCTCAAAACCCCAAGATCTTATGAAAGAAGAAGGGGAAAACCCCAATGAGTAATTGGATCCTGGAGGGAGAACTATTTTGTTATCATCTGTGGCATGTTAGAGTCCTACAGGCCATGTTGTACCTTATCTGGATTCCAGCGTGGCAGTAAATCATGTGTGTCTCTCTTCTCAGTCGGGCCTGGTACCCTCCCCATTATTACTGACAATAGAGCTGAGCAATGCAGGCCACTAGGTCAGGCAGACCCTGGATACATGTTACAAAATACAGCTGGGGCTATGGAAGAGGAAGAACATTTCAGATAGAGCTGCGGTCACAAAAGTCCCATACTCCCCCTGGGCAAGACCTGTACCTTCTGCAGAAAGCAGCAGGTTCATATTACCTGGAGTCCAGGAGTTAATGAAGATGGTAAAAGGCCCATCTTCTACCTTAATGACTTCCCGTGGGTAGACTTCAGCTGGGCCTACAGAGGAGGCTTCCATCTATAGCAGTAGTTCTCAACATTTGGGGCACAGCCCCCCAAACCATTGGAAAACACAGATATTTACATTACGGTTCAAAACAGTAGCAAAATTACAGTTAATGAAGTAGCAACAAAATAATTTTATGCCGGGCGGTGGTGGCGCATGCCTTTAATCCCAGCACTTGGGAGGCAGAGCCAGGCAGATCTCTGTGAGTTCGAGGCCAGCCTGGACTACCAAGTGAGTTCCAGGAAAGGCGCAAATCTACACAGAGAAACCCTGTCTCGAAAGACCAAAAAAAAAAAAAAAAAATAATAATAATTTTATAATTGGGGGGTTGGTCACCACAACACGAACTGTGAAAAGGTCGAGGCATTAGGAAGGTTGAGAAGCACTGGTCTATAGAGATGAACTTGAGCTGCTTGGCCCTGCTGTTGTGAGCACAACTGTTCCCCTAGCAACAAGCTCTGAGAGCAGGTCTGAAACAGCCTCCACAAACAGTGCCTAGACTTGAGCCCTCTACCCTCCACCTCACTTACGCTTGTCCAGCTCGTACAAAGTAAAGAGATTCTGGAAGCAGTCTTCCATCTGGGTACACTGCCCAACAGCAACAGCAGGGCTGAGATCAGAAAGGATGACCACTGAGAGCTCTGACCATGACCTCTGAACACAATGCACGGCTCCAAAGGCACACAATACCCTGACAAAGCTTCATTTGTCTCAAGGAACAAGTTGTTTAACATCTGTGAGACATTTCCTTCTCTGTGAGGTGGAGGCCTGCTGGCTACTCTGGGTTGATATGTAAAGACCCAGCTACACAGTAGGTGCTAGAGACTGCATTGCTTCCTGGGCAGGGTGAGGAACACACAGGCAAGCAATGGGTTAGGGTGATTCATGGGCCCATCACTCACCCACCTGTCTTCTCTCAGGTAGGAGAAAGAAGGCAAGCATCCAGTCTCCTGAACGGCACAGACAGAGTCAAGTCACAACAAATGTACCTAGTTCCCAGGACAGTCTCTCTGTGCATGAAGACTTACTGTCTCTCAATGACCAGCAACTGATAGTAGGGACCTCGTCTCACGTAGATCCTACTTCCGGTGAATCTTCAGTGGGACCACATCACCGGAGTTCCTCCTTTCCCAGCCGCTGGCTTCATTAACATTTGGATGATGCAGGGGCTTAGCCCAGTCATCGTGACCCTGTTGCAAATGCACTCTGGTTCCAAGAGCAGGCTGTTCAGTGTGTCTGGCCTGTTTTTGTTTTTGTTTTATTTATTTTTAAATATGGGGGCATGTGGAGCTCACCTGGTGAGCATGATTCCAGAGCCCAGAGTGGATGGAGCAGCTGGCATGTGATAGCATGGTCTTCATGCCTTATAGGTGGATAAGAATGTTGGTCACCCACTTCAACACAGTGATCTGGAGCAAATGCTCAGAGTGGACACCTGCTACTGCCCATGGCCCTTCTAGAACTACTCCTTTGCTCTTTCAGTCGCCCTTAGCTCTTCAGCAACTTGGGACCAATGGCTCCTTTCCCTTGGTTTTATGGGAGTCTGGTGTCAGTTGCCTCGTGTTCCCCTTCTTTATGTGGCAGTTGTCAAGGCAAGACCAAGACCCAGAAATTGTCTATAATTCAAGGCCAACACTCAGCGAGCTCAACGCCACCTTCAGCAACAAGAGCCCCATAGAGCAGCCCCCTGCATCCAGCCCTTGGGGTGACTCCTCTTTATTATAGGGAGCCTTCCTCTACCAGGAAGGTGCCCAGGAGAAGTCTATAGAAGCCTCAACTTGCAGGGCTCCCATGCAGGTACTATAGGCCAACAGCCCCAGCTCACAGTGATCAAAGTTTGTATTCTAGACATGGCTGCAAAGGTGGACACTAGGCACAAAATAACCCCATGGCTGTTGGTTTGTAGGTGCTGTGGGTGGTGTGTCCCAGGCAGGCAGGCAAGCCCTACTTATCTTCCAAACTGGAATATCACCTTCTCAACAGTTTGGCAAAATTAATACACCTTCAGTTCCAGCTTGCCCGCATTGTCCTTACAGGGCAAAAAACAGTTACTTAGTACCTCTCCCAACACACCCTACTCGACTCACTTGACACAGCTGGTGGCCCCAGGTAGACAGGGCAGAGATGGAGTAGCACATTGAAATGCTCTCCCACTGACCCTAGAAAAGCCTAGGGGCTGGTTATATCCCCCTGGAGTAGAAATAGCAGAAGGGAATCCAAATGTGGGAGGCACATGTGCTGTGCCTATTCACCCCAAGATTGAAGTATACAAACAAGACTGCCTCTACTCCCAGGTCTGTAATTCAGCCTAGCAAGTCCCAAAGCCTCCAGGCAGTGGTTTCTGTGGTCACTTTGCCCCCTTTAAGCTCACTGTAGAATGTCCACAGTGCTGTGACTTAAGGCCTGGCAGCGTGGAGCGCTGTCTTCCCTGTGGCTGCGCATGTGGGTTGCTTGTACATAGCATGGTTCTCTCGGCCTATCAGGGAACAACCAGCCATATGGAATACATGAGGCATATCTGGGACAAAAAGCAACTGATGAGGCCTTCCACTGGGGAAACAGCCTTGGGACAAATGAAGAGCATGAGGACGTCTGTCATTCTATAGTAGCTTTGCAGCTCAACCCTCTCCCTGTTTAAGAGTCTGACTGCTGCATACTCCATGACAACTACATGAATCAGCCCATCCTGTTTCTAGTCCCTGCTCCCAATAGGAGTGCCCTAAACCAAGTCATTTTCATGTATAAAACCTCCTATGGTTTCCAAAAGTCCTGTGTCATTCAAGCCCTTCTACAGTCTGGTTCTTTTCCTACCTGCCTCATTCACTTTTTGTGTCCCTGTTCTTACCCTGTTCTAATAAATGAGCCAGTCCACAAGAAGGACAGACTGACAAGCCGAGAAAAGATTCCTAACTCCACTTTGACCTAGTGCTAACCATTGTGTGCAGTCTGGGTTACCAAACTGCCAGTTAGGGTTAGGGCAAGTGTTAAGGTTAAGGGCTAAGGTCTGAATCATGGACAGGGTCAGGGGTAAGAAAGAGGGATTAGGGGTTAGGGTTAGTGTCCTAGTTAGATTTTTTTTGTCAACTTAAAGTTAGGATCATCTAGGAAGAGGGAATTTCAATGGCGAAAATGCGTCCATCAGACTGGCTCATAGGCAAGTCTGTGAGGGCATTTTTTTTGATTAATGATTTATGTGAGAGGGCCCCACCCACTTTGAGTGGTGTCACCATGGGCAATGGTTGTTGGCTGTATAAAGAAGCAGGCTTGCAAGCTATGAAGAATAAGCCAGAAAGCAGCATTCTTTCATAGCCTCTGCATCAGTTCCTGCCTTCATGTTCCTGTCTGGAGTTCTTATCCTGACTTCCCTTTGTATGGACTACAAATGCAAGCTGAGGTAAACCCTTTCCTGCCCAAGTTAATTTTGGCCATGGTGTTTCATCATACCAAAAGAACAGAAATTGGTGCCAGGTTTGTGGGATGCTGCCGTGATAGCCTAACAATGTTAATTTTGGGGGAGAACTGTGCAGGACTTTAGAACTTTGGACTGGAAAAAGTGTTGGATGCTTAGATCATACTGGTTTGTTCTGTGAGAACTGGAAGATATTTCTGAGAGCAGTGCAGATGATGGAGGTCTGGCTTGTTAAGTTTCACAGGGAAGCAAAGACTATCGTGGTAGTTTATGTGATATTATGTATTAAGAACCTGTAGTTTACACTCAGTTGGAGCTAAAAATCAGATGTGATTGGCAAGAGAACAGCAACACTAAAGAGAAGCCTTTACTTTGCTGGGACAATCTATACTGGTTAGCTGGAGCTGAGATATTAGCAGTGAATAAGAAGAGACCAGCATCACTGAGGTGAAGTCTTCTGGGAGTATTTCCTCAGGGTCAGCACACAGAAGCTATGGTCCAGAGGGACCAAGGCTGCATCTCAAGCTGTTAGCTGATGTTGATGATGTGTAAGAGTTACCCAGGTAGTACTGGTTTGGAAGTCATGGAGGGGTCATAGTAGCAGCTGAGACTTGGTACTGTGAATGGCCAGATGATGCCACCAGGGAAAGTATAGCCTCAGCTGCAGTGGAGACCCCAGGAGTAAGGGGGTCATGCAGAGAAGCTGAAGTTTGGCTCAGGAGAGTGTTAGTGAAGGGTTAGGGTTAAGATTAGTGTTGGAGTTGCATAAGTATACACACACACACACACACACACACACACACACACACACACACACACCTCCCTGTAGAACCAGTTTCCACAAAACTACTGCACTGCATCCAACTGTCAAGTCCATCAAGACTTGGGAAGTTAGTTAGATTGACAGTCAATACTCCTTACTCCTCAGTATTAGCTAACAAGTCCGTCCCACCACTTCATGGACATTCTTACAATATGAGGTTGCATGCCACATTCATCTTTGTATACCACAGTAATAGCATCTAGAGCCAATTCCTTGTTTTTTTGTTTTTGTTTTTGTGTATGTGTGGTATAGCTAATTCTAACCCTATTTGTCTTAGGGTTTCTATCACTGTGAAGAGACACCATGACTATGGCAACTCTTATAAAGGCAACCATTTAACTGAGGTGGTGGCTTACAGTTTCCGAGGTTTAGTCCATTATCATCATGGTGGGGAGCATAGCCACTGAGAGTAAGGTGGAATGCAGGAAGATATGGTGCTGGTGTGGTGATCTTTTGTGTACTCTAATAAAATTTGCCTGATGATCAGAGGACAGAACAAGCCATTAGATTAAACATAGATGCCAAGGAGTGGTGGCACACACCTTTAATCCTAGCACTTGGGAGGCAGAGGTCTGCCTGGCTCTGTTTCTCTCCTAGACTGAGTCAATCTCATGTAGTCCAGGGTGGCTTTGAACTCACAGAAATCCAGACAGATCTCTGCCTCCCAAGTGCTAGGATTAAAGGTGTGTGCCACCACTGCCTAATCTAGTGGCTTGTTCTGTTCTCTGATCTTCAGAAAAATTTTATTAGGGTACACAATATATCACCGCATTGCTGGAGAACGAGATGAGAATTATACATCTTGATCCAAAGGCAACAGGAAGTGGTCTGAACCATGGGTGTGGCTTGAGCAAATATGAGTTATCAAAGCCCACCTCCAGTGACACACTTTTTCCAACAAGGCCACTCCTACTCCAACAAAGCCACACCTCCTAATGGTGCCACTCCTTTTGGGAGCCATTTTCTTTCAAACCACAACACTACTTCTTTAATACCCTAACTAACCCTAACTGCCCAAATCCTAACCCTAACCCTAACCCTGTAACTCTAAATCATCCCTCCACACACACAAGGTTTCTCTGTGTAGTCCTGGCTGTCCTGGAATTCGCTCTGTAGACCAGGCTGGCCTTGAACATAGAGATTCACCTGCCTCTCCTTTCTGAGTGTTGGGATTAAAGGTGTGCATCGCCACTGTCCAGGTTAACTCTAATTCTTAAGCCCTAAATCCTAACCCTAATCCTAACATCAGCCCATCACCCTAACCTTAAGGCCTTAATCTTCTAACCCTGTTTTACCCTAACCCTTTTACATCGAATGCAAGCCATATCCCTGTCCCAACCCTCTAGCTCTAACTCTAAACCCCAAACCCTATAAACTCCCACCTAAACCTCATTCTTAACCATTTTCCTAGCTCTCCAGACTGTATATAACTGTCCTCATAGTACACTTATAAGAGAAGTAGATTCATCCAGGACCTCATTACAAAGTCACCACAATGGCTTTATAGATGTTTTTGGTGGGAGGTGGTCTTTACAGTGCAGGGGAGTCTTTGGGAGCCCTGGATTATCTAATGGGTCTGTAAGTTGATTTCTTGTTAATGGACTAAACCAATAGTTAGAAATGAGAGAATGGGATAACAGACAATGAATTCTGAGTTACTTGAGAACAAACATAGTAAGATTTGTGTTGAGCTGGAGTTCATGGGGAAAACTTACCAGGTTAATGAGTCTTTATAAGGCTTTAATGACTGGCCAGCAGTTCACTAAATGATCGGAGAACTCAAAGGACAGGAAGGTTCACATAATCACCAGTGCACCCTCTGCTATGGAGGAAGGAGATGTTCCGGGGTAGGAACCAACCAATTGCTCCTCTGATAGGGTGACCAAGTTTGCCTGTGAGTTAGGGCCATACATGGTGATCAGAGGCCTCATGTTGGATTACAGATTCACTGTTATACTATCAGTGTGAGAAATACATTATATTTTTGTTCTC